AACCATTTACCATTTATGGTAATTAATACTTTTCACTCATGCATTTCCATGCATGTGCATATGTTTTTATTTCTTTCTTCGAATGGTGTTTGTATTTTGTTGTTGCATGTGAGCGCATGGAAGCATGTGCAAATGTTTCTTAATTTGTAGTTTTTGGGGGTGAGAGCCCTTTGTCTATGAAAACAAACAGACCCTTGTGAAGCCCCTGTGGCAGGCCTATTGAGAAAGGCACTTGGGCAAGCGTACATAAATAGTGTGGGGTCGAGAGCGAGTGCTAGTCTAACTTCAGGGGCCCACCAGAGCCCAATTTAGAGGAAATGGGGGACGGCAGGGCTTTGTGTCGAAAGTTCACCGGCGTAAGACCATATGGGAAAATACACAGTAGAAAAGGCGTTAATTGAGGTGATGCACCACATACGTATTTGGCACCACAAGGCTAGAATGGCTAGCGCCGGAGTCTGTCTGAAAGGGCCCCAGTGTGCAAAGTGGCACTCTGTTTGAAGTGCACTGATGGGTGAAGTGCTTGATGGCCCCATGAAATGTTTTGTTTGTTTGACCTTAATGTTATGTCTTATTAAATATCTGTGTTAACTGTTGACAGGCATGTGTGTGTATGTATGCGTGCACAGTTAGTATGAGAAGTAGGGAGGTTACCACGGGTCACTGGGAAAAGCTTTGTTTATGTAACACGAGAGGTTGGCACAAACTGTGTATTGTGATAATGATGAACAGCGGCATCTTCCATAATGGCTCTTCCTATTGGCTTGTTAGTGGTGCAGTGTCAAACATACATGTTGGTAGGTCAGAGGTCCAGGTATCATTCAACATGTACATGTATAGCTTGTTTCCTTCCTCTTAAGCTGCGACTTCCTGCCATAATAAATGCTTGGTTGTATAATAGTAAAAAAATAAATAATGAAACCCACTATTGCATTATTAACACAAAGCCTACTTCAAACAAAACAACAAACTAGGGCACTCTGATAACACATACCTCTGCAAAGGCTGATTGGCCCTTTTATTACCATATTGTTACACATGTATTGAGATCATATGTAGCCTGATCTGAAATTGCACCTGTTGATATAGATAATAGCACCCCACACATGCCTGATTATCTATCTAATAATTCCAGAATTCTGTCTGACTGTGGAACACATATCTCAAGAACCATTCATCTCATTGCATTCACACTTGACGTGTGTTGTTCAGGGCACAGGAGAGTGCAGTGTCGAATTTGGTACGATTTGGATACATGATAATAATAAAGGTTAAATAAACAGGTGTTCTGTAGCAGCGCCGGCTTGGACTCATCAACATAAGTGACATTTTTCGATTATGGCAACGGTGTGTTCACGACAACAACTGATTCTGTCAGAGTCTAGCAGCAGCTCAACTACTACAGGTCACCTTTACAGTTTCAGAAAGAAAGCTGCAACCAGCATCACCACAGGCCAAACAAACAGTCCATTCCATACGGGCAGGTTTAAAATGTTTTTTTTCAGAAACTAATATATGAACGAAACGAAATTTGGGTCCATCCCCTTACACAAATCTGTTCCAAAAATTAAAGGGTTCCTCCTTTGTTCAGACCCCATCATTTTACCAAGTTTCATTTAAATTGGTTAAGTACTCTTTGTGTATTCCTGCTAACAGTCAGACAAGCAGAAATGAAAACATAACCTCCATGTTAAAAATGGTTACTCCTGATGTCCAGCACTCAAACAAGTCTTTATGAGTATAGTGAAACAATTAAACACACACACACACATGCACCAGTGAAGCACCAGCATGTCTGGCCTGGGCTAGCCACACCCTTTCATTTTTCCCCCACTGTCCCGTTGGGTGGTGTCAAGTTTCCTCGTGCTCTGAGAAACCTGCCTGGTACCAAAGATGTCATTGGCTATCTCAGCAAGTTACTGCAACTCCAGCGCCACCTCATTGGTCACTGGGGATGCTCAGGACATCCATGTTACGGAGATGCTCTCCACTCGTCTCGGAGTATTGATGACTGGCAGAGTGCTTGGCATGGTGCATGGTGGTTCTCCACAGGGCAGATATTGATCAGAAAAGACTGAATCATGCAAGATACCAAGCACAAATCGACAAATTATTATTTAAATATATTTTTTAACTTTCACATGTCTTCATAAATGTAACCCATGCTGCATACTGGCTTTAACTAAAAATAGCATTGCCTGCTTTAAATGGAAACATTAATCCTGCAAGTACTTTTAATGCATAAAGTAGCATGTTGACCGTGCTTGAGCACATCACGCCATATTCCAGTTACATATCAAGGGCTTTAAAGTTGGCAAAGATTTATTAGATTTTTTTTCTCTCTAGTGTTGTATTGCTAGATTGTAAAAACTGTTTGTGTGTAAGCTGCCATGTTGTTGCTTGTTTTGGAGGAATAATCTGATTGCACTAATACTCGTTTTTGCATGTCAACCATGTGGATGCAGGGATATTGCATTTCCAGTGTTATATCTGATGTGTGTGTGTGTGTGGGTGTGTGCACGCGTGTGTGCACGTGTGTGTGTTTGTGTGTGTGTGTTTTAGCAGCACTACAAGCCTGAGCTACTTCACTGGATTACTCAAATGTAGTGGAATAAATGTTGCAGATTAAATGAAGCGTAAGGAATGTGAGACAAAGTGTTTACATTTTGTGTCAGGGACTTTTATAGTCATGGCTGCAAAACAGAACTTCAGTCTCTTCCCCACTGATATTTAAACTCTTTGACTAGACAAATCTATACTTCTGATACCTGGAACCATCTTGTTTTAAATTGTTATATCAAGACCTGTGTGTGTTTATGTTTATTACTGTAGATTATGACAGGTTGTTTGGATTTTTGGCATGTTGTTGACCATGTGTTACATGATGGCACCGCATCAATTTCTCTTTTCAGAACAGGTTCCAGAAGTTAATTTTTAATACATTTTCACTATTGACATTTCCCGAAAATCCTTATCAAGAGTTTTAAGCCTGGAAACAGGTGGACCAGATATGAACTGAATTGTGACCATTAAACATTTGATGTAGAGCAAAGATATATTGGAAAACAGAAAAACGCAAAGATACAAGACTGTGTACTTAATCATTTTAAGAGTGACGAAACTATCCATCCCGTAAACCATTGCGAAAGATCACCTTCCAATGACTTTGAACGCGCTTCCCCGGAATTTAATCTTGTAATGATTTTCACCCTTGGACTTGTTCTTGTAAAATATAGCATGTTAGAAAGTTAAACTTAATGTATTGCTGAATTATCTGATTGTACCTGACATGATTTCTGCAGTTGTAGTAAACATATCCATGATAACAGCAGGCTCTGTCAATCAGAGACGTTGTAATTACACCTTAGGATTGTGGGTAGTTAAGCAATTCTCCTTAACATTGCAAATAAAACAATTTTAAAGACTGGTGGCTTCTACAGAATCATAACATAATTTTACAAACTCTTAGCCTGTGGTACGTCTACCTCGGATGGTTACAATATTATGGTCAATAATCAATAATCTCAGTGATTCAGTGAATCATTGGGATTTTTGCTTCTGGAACCTTGCTGATAAAGATTAAGTTTGTAAGAATAAGGTGAAAGGGATCTATGGGCAGATATTACATATAAAATAATGTTTTCATTGGTGTGTTTAACCTAAATTGCTGGGTTTTTTTTGCTGTTCTTTTTTACCCTAAAATTAGTCCTTTATATTTAAATACTTTATATTTACATCGGGAGCGGGTTCTCTCCATGAAAGCCCCCATGTTTTTTACAGTAGCCCAGACTGGACAAACTAAACACCTTTTGAGTTTGTATGACTTATGAAGGCTATCATTAGGTTTTCCTTCATGCTTGCTAGAGGAGGGTTGGCTGCAGCATGCCACTTCACCACTAGATGTCACATAATCCTACATACTGAACCTTTAAGCCTTATATCAGACACCACTTTGCATTCTTCGTAGAAAAGACACACACACTGTACACAGTCAGCAATGCATTTACAGTAGGCAAAATGTAGTGTTACTGTTCACAAACACACAGTCAGCAAATCCCTGCTGCAAAACTCAGGTTGCAGCAGGATTGTTTATGCCCTCTGCTGCCATGTTTCATCATTCTACCTGTGTGTGTGCGTGACAGTTTTCTGTCTGTGTACAGAAAGTGTGTGAAAGTGTGTGTACCAGGTTTTCCTGAGAATCATGTTTGAACAGAGGTTTATAAACACCATATAAGCGAAGCAGCATCCTATACACTGTGCTCTCAGTACAGCAACAGACTGTTGCCTCTTTAAATCCCCGACACATTTTCTGTTTTTGTTGTTTTGCTAATCCTCTTATCCAATGAATACAACTAAAAAGCAGACTTATGTCTGCATTACAAGCAACTGCATCCAATGTGAAGTGTAATGTCAGTGCTGAAACAAGTACTTCTCAGTCTTATTTGGATCAGAGAGGATGGGGTGATTTGTGCTGCTATTAAATGATATAAAAAATGATTAGCTTTTAATTCATTATATAATTTAACAGTAAACAGATGTTATGATAATCATTTCTTTTTATTTGTATTATTATTTGTATGTATTTCTTTTTTTAATATAATTTTGGACATTTAGTTGCATTATTGATCTCCATCTCAGCACTGTACTGTTGCGAAAATCTTTGTTCCTTACCAATCTGAACTCTGCTGCCCTCACAGACAAATCTTCACAGTACAGACACACACACAGAGTTTGACACACAGGGGCATGTATTGGAGCTAAGATGGTTATCTCTACAGAGGAAATCTTAAAGGGAAAGGGAGTTACACTGCATGTCTTGATGGGAGTCTTTCTTTTTATGAATTTTCATTTTTCATATGGGTTTATGAATAGTGTTATTGAATCTGTCTTCTGGTAAAAGTTAAAGTTGGATTGGATATTTATTCTGCAATAAACCTTCAGTTTTTAGCTGAAGTCAAACTCTTTGCACTGAAAGTATCTTGTCCCCTCTCCTCGCTCAGTGGATGTGAGAACTGCAGTGCTGCCCACGCAGGTGCCCCCTGCCACCACAGCTCTCCTTCCCATGGACCTGCGCGTAGTGGACCACCACCATCACCACCACCACCAGCCTCCCTTCGGTCTGGTTCCCCAAACCCACCCCCTACCACCTGTCTCCACAGCTTGTCCCGCATCAGCCGAGCCAGGCCGTGGGCCAATCGTCAGTAAGTCAGGATGAGCTTTTCTTGATAGTGTCTCAAGACTGAAAGTCGTTTACCCTGAAGTTTTAGCCCAAATGCATCCCTTGCGTCAGATGCTTATAATGATAGACTATTTCTAATCTCATATAGGCCACCCGGAGCAGCAGCTGCAACAGGAGCTCGTGGTACTCAAACACAAGCAGCAACTGCAGAGACAGCTACTGATCGCCGAGTTCCAGAGGCAGCATGAACAGCTGTCGCGACAACATGAAGTCCAGCTGCAGGAACACATCAAGGTGAGGTGGTGGGAGATCTAGCTCCTCTCCTCTCCCCTCTTCTCAGCAGAAATGCACATTCTCAAGGACAGTAGAACTACATGTGCATTTGCACACTTAGTGAGTATGATGTTGTAATTTGATCTGGTGGCAGCACTTAGCTGCTTAGTCATCTCCAGGACAAGACCACTAGTCCCAGTAAACCTTGTGTGTGTGAATCCTGTATGTGACTCACTCTGCTAAAATGCCTCACTGGTGTTGCTGTGACCACTAAGTCAGCCAATAAGGACGATCGGTCTTGGCTGAAAATAACTCTGACGTGTGTCTTCCAATCAGCTCAGTCTACAGGTTAGCATGGCCCTCATTATGGACTCCAGGTCGGTGATGTCATGTGCTTTCAAAAGGCTCACTTTCAAATTATTGGTTGCAATAAGTAATAAGCCATGGTCTGCACCTTGTCAAAACAATGTCTCAACACTTTGATACACAACATGGGTCAAAAGTGGTCCAACTTTTATTTTCAGTTCAGCATTTCAGGTATTCCTCAATTAACTTGTTTTTGATCCTCACAATCCTTTTTTCCTTTTTTGTATCACTACCCTTGTAATGCACAACATGAGTCAAAAATGACTTAAAACATGTCTGCATTTAATACTCTTGTTTTTAATACCACAAGTCACTTTTTTTGTATCATGATTTTGCATTTTCTACATCAATTTTACACACATGGGTCAAAAATCACCCATACAGTATACGGAGCGCCTTGCATACATTTCACACAGCTGCCTTTAAACATCTGATGCATGTAAGTCTTATTTTAAAATCCATTACCCTCAATATCCTCGTCTTGTCTCCACCAGCACCAACAGGATCTTCTGGCCCTCAAACACCAACAGGAGCTGTTGGAGCATCAGAGGAAGATGGAGGAGCAACGTCACAAGCAGCAACTGGAGAAGCAGCAGCGCGAACACAAACTCCAACAGCTCAAAAACAAGGATAGGGGACAAGAGAGTAAGTAGCAACATATGATGAGTGGGCAAAAGAGCATCAATCCAGTGCACCCAAAGGAAATTATATGAGATTGAAAAACCTGTTATGTGTGTTGGTGAGTTTGCATTCCCATGGTTCAGTGAGTAGTCATGAGTACGCTCTTAACATAGCTGTCATGTTCGACCCAGCATATATTCACTCTCCTCCCACTGAACACTGCCAACATCTGCTGTAACTGTGCTGAAGCAGTGTGCCATTTTTCCACCGCAGGTGCCAGAGACACTTGACCCTTAGAGTACCTCTGTCACAGCACCTGCCCTTACATCGCAGCAGTCAGAACAGCCTGACCTTGCGGATTTACCACAGACAATATCAGAACGAGATTGGCCCAGACAAGACATTCATTTGAAGCAATTAGATTTTGGTTACAGCAACACAGTGAAACCAGACAATTCCCTGACTTGACCTTTTAAATGATTTTTCTTTTTGAATGAAGATTTATTTTTTTGTTTTTTACGATAATCTTCTCACTAAAGTAATTCACTTAGTATGTAAATATAATAATAGCTGTAGAGCTGGTGGCCAAACCTTAGAAACTAAAGTTGATTTAATTAAAAGTTAATTAAAAATTAAAGTTGATTTGAAAACGCTGATATTATCTATACTGTCTGGAGTCTGCCTCATCCGGCTGCATCTTATTTTTTATGACAAATAAAATGCCTGATTTCATACTTATGATGGCATATTTCTTCAAAGTTTAAAATTTTAGCTGTGCTAAGCCAATTGTTTCTCTTGTTCCTGTAATTGTTTTATACGACAAAAATAGAAGGTGACTAGAAAGTCTTGCCTCGCTTTGAATTGCCTTGTTGTTGAAAGGCGCCACACTAGTGAACTAGCCCTGACTTACTGAATAGAGCATGTTAGCACAAATATTTACATCCACTTCATATAGCACTTGAATGGCTCTAATGTAGGAAATTGTGTGTTTTTGCACATTTGCATAAACCAGCCTGATTATATTTTGGTTTTGGCTGCAAACACCTGCATGCTCATTATTCATACTCATAACTTGTTAAATAAACTCATCAAAACACAGAGGCTGTTTCATTCTGATTTTTGGTTGTGTGGCTGTTAAATGGTCTCACGTGGGTGTTCCTGGGCAGGCTACGATTTGGATTTTGACAAAACATTTCAATATGAATCCCAGACTTTTTTCTCAACCATCCTCCGCTGGGCAAAGTGAGCCTTCAGTTTGACGTCTATGGACGAGAGCATCGGGTTGTAAACAGAGGAAGCTTTGTTAAGTGCTACTGTAAATTGCATAGAAGGCAGTCTCATAAAAGCCAATTTGCTTCAATGGCAAAGCAGACATATTGGGATGTCAGCACTTCCAGCTGCACCATGATTTAGAGATCACATATTAGTCGTTCATTTTCACATACTCGTTTTTACCACTTTCTCCCCCAAGCTAGCCACATCACCTGATATCACTCCCTCTGTCACATACTTAGGAAATACCTCCCTCCATTTTTATCGCTCTCCTCACTCCGTTTATGATATATTTTTTTAATGGCCTCTCTTTCCCTCTCACTCATCTCCCTCCCCAGACAATTTGTTTGTAGCTGTGAAATGAGGGTGGTAATTGAGGAGAGACCAGGGGCGGAGTGAAACTCATGATGTGTGTCTTCGAGGTGCTTTGCTTTTGTGCTGCTGTCGTCTCTTTGGAATTTCAGCCAATCTCTGATGCAGGATTATACAATTCTGCATGGAGCTAGAAACACATTATGTGTCATAGCAGGGAGCGATGTTGTCATAATCTCCACATTAGTGTCACTGATTGAACAGAGTTAGTACAGCACTGACTTCTATGGCGATGCAATATGGAAATTACTGCAATTCTGTGTAGGGCAACAGGGCTGTGTGTGTTTTTTTGTCTGTGTGTGAGTGCATAGTTTATATTTGTGCTTAATTTACATTCCTTTCTTCTTGTATCTCTGTATCTGTTTAGGTGCGATCGCCAGTACAGAGGTAAAGATGCGACTTCAGGAGTTTGTCCTGAACAAGAAGAAAGCCCTGGCTCAGCGAAATCTAAACCACTGTCTGCCCAGTGACCCACGCTACTGGTATGGGTGAGTGTCACAGCAGACGACGACAGACCCACTCAGGATTTGCCTTGTTTAACTCGTTGAACGCCAGTTGAAATCAAGTTTCTGTCTGTAAAATTCCAATTTAAGCACCATTTGATGCAAGTGTGAGTTGAATTTTCTTGTACTCTCCTGTGTTTCCTTTTAGGGCAGGAATCATTGTCACATTCACAAAATTTCCTTTTCTATTTCTTTGTGAGCCCGGCATCATAATGTTACTGTGAAATCTTAAAGAACTGGAGTGGCTCTCAGTTGAGCACATACCTCCACCAAGGCAGACCACTTAAAGTCATTCAAGCTGCACCAAATGTTTCACACTCATAGATAGCAGTCCCCTAAATATACCAGTTTTCTGTTTTTTTAATCAGGTTCAAAGAATTACTCCCTGGGAAAATGTGAAAATGTAAAAAAAAACAACATTATTTATCCTTTTGTCTGATCAGTGCCAAAATGTAATGGGTTCTTTCTTGGCCCATGTCCTATCCTTCCCCCAAGTTCCACCAAGTCTGTTCTATATTTATTGCCTAATCCTGCTGACAAACAAAAGGACAGTGGTGAAAACATTACCTCCTCTGCAGAGGAAATTAACTGTTCATACTCTTTTTCTCTCTTTCATACTCCGGGACCTTTAATGTTAACTTTTTACTTATGCATTTGGGTTTAAAAGAAGAAACAATGAGAAGGTTAAAAAAGCATTCCACGCTGATGAAGCCTCATATTTATGAGCTTCTATTGTTTTCTGTGGTTTTATGAGCCTGTTAGTTGTTGTCTTTTCATATCGGAGCTCAGAAATTGTAGCGCTGGAAAAACACCAAACATAAAAGTCACAATGATGAGTGACGCAAAAAGTCCCTCACGGCGTGTCTTCGCGGATGTGGCAAACCCTGTGGTGTCGTGCACCCCTGTGGTGTGGATAGGTTCTTGTGCTTGCGGTGTAAGAAGTTCCCAATTTCAACATTAACCTCGCATAGCGTCCTCGTCAGACTGAAACTACTGAGACAATGTTGAAGGAACTCTCAGTGTGTTTGTTGTCTGTGATTGACAGCTGGCTCTCTTTGAGGTGTGTTTGAAGTGGGCACAGAGAGAAGACAATGGCACCGCTTTAAATATTTGAAGAGGCTCTAAGCATTCATTTCTTCCAAGGCGAGAGATGATAGAATCTAAAGTGTGTGCCATCAGCAGGGAAAATGGTTATCGCTGTCATCACCATTTCCCCTTTTCTTTGGTCTCTTACCTGTTTGCGTTCTCCTCTGCTCTTCCATACTTCTCTCCCCTCTTTTAGCCTAATCTCTTCTCTCACCTTCTCCACCCTTGTCTCTTTGCGTTTCTCACTCACCTTTCAGATAGAAAACAAAACCTTAGCCTCTTTGCTGCCTTTCAGTGATAAAAAAAAAAAAGGCGAACGCTCTCAGAAATGTTCCCTTCTCTTTATTCCTTGTCTCTTTTTTTATTCTACTCATATTACTGTGCATACTCTGTGCTGTCTTTTTAAGTGTCGACTTTGGTTTGGGTTATGGAAGCAGGTTTGTCTTATATATGTATGTGTTTGTATGGAAAGTCAGACAATAGGTACACAGTGGGCTTTTCAAACATACCAAGAGCCATGGGTGTGGCCTGGCTTAGGCCTCCAGGGCTGTAGCCCCATACGTTTTTTCTTAATTTCAGTCACCACGTTCACCAGTGCATCACTTTGCAGCTGAACATCAAGCAGCGGTGAATGCGCCTGCTCACACTGGCTGCGTGACCAACCCCTTTTGGACATGGAGCATTTTGGTTTTTATGTAAGGGCCCAGGTAATCAGATTACAGCGTCCAGACTGCCTCCTTGAGCAGCACAGTTCAGTGTTGTTATCTCCTGCTGTGTGGTTAAAATGTGAAAGACAAACTCCAAGCATCGTTCGTAGTATTTTCTGTTCCTAATCTTTAAACAATCTGCTTCCTGTTTACACTGGCAAGGTGTACGCACAAGTCACATGACTTACTTTTTCAGGGGCACATTTGACCTCAAAAGGTTTTTGTACCATTTCGTTTCGGTTTCTTGGCTGAAATATTTAAATTGAACTACACCTGACACCGTCAGATAAAGGCTAGTTAGCTAGTTAAAGTTTTAAAGTACTCGTTTGATCGATTATTATATTATTTTATTAAGCTCTATGACATAATTGAAATAGCTGTGTAAGCAGAAGATGGGGCAAGAGCAAAATACATTCTAAACTGTTTTTATTGGATGTTAGATTGTTGTGAAAGCTTGTTTCTTTGATTTGTGGTGAGGTACTGGATCATTAAAGGATTTGAGAAGTTTTTTGTAAAACACATTTGAAAAAACTAAAATGCTTTTTCAGAAGTGGAACATTTTCGAAAACCACTGGTTTAGTCTTTAACAATGGGTTTTTACAGCTTGTTATAATATCTATTGATTAAGAATTTAAAAGACCTAAAGCTGTCAAATAAATGTTATGAGTATAAAATACAATGATTTGTATCAGAGTAGAAGTATGAAGTGGAAATACTACAAGTACAAGTACTTACATGTTGTGAAATAAAAAATACATGTTTGACATTTATGGTATTTGTGACATTGTGTAGTGTAAACTATCCAGCCTGCAGAAGTGGAGTTGATCATAGAGCTTATTCGCTGCCTGGATGAATTGGATGTTATTCTCTTAACTATGGAACAAAATAGGTTTGTTATTGTATTAATATGTTTATTAATACAATAACAAGAAACTAGGGGCAAAATATTTTTCAGATTTTCCCTGTAAAGACTTAACATCATATTGCAAATGCACTCATAATGTTTGATGTTTTCTTTCTTATCTTTTTTGTAGAAAAACCCAGCACAGCTCTTTGGACCAGAGCTCTCCTCCCCAAACAACATTGTCAGCGTACAACCACCCATTGCTGGGCACATATGACTCAAAAGATGACTTCCCTCTCCGTAAAACAGGTACAGTCTGGGGCCATGGTGTTGCTGAGATTTTGTGACTTTCTGACCTCCGTATTCCTCCACCTCTTGCAGCCACCAACCCATTGTCTGTCTAGAAGGGCAACCTAATCTCCCTTTTCCCTGCATAAGCAATTGAAATGGCTTATTAGGTTTCTAAGTCAGGCCCACAAACCTGGAGTCAGCTACTGGAGGATTAAGAGGAGCCTCTAAAATACTATATTTAAGAACGATGTTAAAGGTTACTATTTGGGGGTCTTTTGAATCTTTCTGTCAATAAAGGTGGAAGGACAGAGCGTGGAAGCATTAGAAAGTAGAACAATTGAAACCATAAAGCCGATAAAAGCAGAATACCAACATTGTCATAGTTGCTGAGGGGCTTTTACACCAACTTTGCTTGGCCTGGACTCTATGACTTTTCAGTTTATTCTGAACCAAATTAAATGAGTGAAAGGTACCTCGAACCACAGTCTGGGTCAACGGACAACAATTCTGACCAAAAGTGGTTTCCCTGGTCCAGACCATAGTGATCCATGGTTCAGGTCATTTGCAGTGTGAAAACATTTGTTTGGGTTAGTTCAGACTTTGGGACAAACTGGTGGAAGTTGAGATGACATTAAACAATAGAACTAGAAAAAAAAGCACTGGAGGCTCACAGGATTGCTTGTAGTCTTTGTCTCTGACAATATGTTGGAATGATGGGGATGTTCATTTTGCTCATAGTAACACCATAATGATATTACAGTGGCAACAGACTTATTCCACACTGATATTAACAAACACATTCAAGTCACACTCCTTCAGAGAGGTCATAAATCACACTGTTCAACAAAACAACGTTTTGCTCCTCTGAGAAGTGTCCTTGAAGCAAACCTCTGTTCCTGCCTCCTGCTATCACACTGTAGATTCTCTGTCCTCCTGTCTATGTTACACGCGGCCAAGCTGTGATCATTCACTTTGCATCAGCTGCTGCCTTGATAGTTTCACTGGCTGCTTTCACAGCTGGAGGCCAAACTCTGTGTATTCTGCAGCCCTGACCACCTGCCGTGAGCTGGAGTCAGAGCTGGCACACAACCGCTGAGTGCAAGTTTCAACTTTAAGGGACACTCAGATGTAATTCAGGGTGTCTCCAGTGGTGCAAAGAAATATTCATACCTCCCAGTTGACACTGACACAAGGCAAAACTAACTGTTTATTTCAAACACATAAAAGTGCATATGTAGAGAAATAACATGTTTTAGGAAAAGTAGAGTTTGAGATTTGGAGGCGTTGGTCTTTGTGTCAGTTGTGAGGCGACACATAGAGGGAATGCTGACTACACATGTAGAGGAACTGTTGTGTCACTAGTAAGCAGACGAGATTAGACGGGCAGACAAAGATGAACTGTGTTCTAGAGGAAGTGAGTGACAGTGGTCACCACAGTTGTGTGCTGCTCTGACGCCTGGAACTGTCACGCATGACGTTTTCGCCTGTGGTGACCCATGTGGGTAATGTATGCGTGTAAATTATAAATGTACTTTGAGAATTCCTTTTCTCTCTCTCGTCCAGACGTACAGTATATTACAACAGTGGTCGTTGTCCAAGTCTTAGAGGCTTTGTGATAATGGAACACAGAGGGCCACTTTGAATGCTGCGGCAGGAAGTCTGTCAGGCCATCATGACAGGCGCAGACTTGTCATGATGACCCCTTTCTTTTCTCCCTCACTCTGTCAGACTGTCGCGAACATTCCCATACCACACTGTGCACTGAATATTTGAAACCATGCAGGATCTCTACAGCCATCATTTTCATTTTCTTTGTTTCATTTTCTACCATTCAATGCTTTTGAAACTACCGGCCCATCTCCTCTGACCTTAATGGAGATAACTTCATTTTTAACACTCATTCCTTGCTTGTCCATTTGACCTCACTGATTATCGGACTTCTTGGTACCAGCATCAAAAATGTTTCTGATACTTCAGAAAGTGCATCGTCAGGCATTAGCGAGTATGTGAATCTATGTACTGATCAGATACCATATCTTTAAAGTATATTAGTGTCACTCAGACAAAACTGCAATTTTCCCTGAAATCACTTCTTCTTCCTTGCTCTAAAACTGCAGTTGTGCTGCACTGCCACTGGGTAGTGTTAGCCAGAGCTTGCAAAAATATCAACAATTTAGCAATATGTCATTCTGGGAAGTCCCACAAGTAAAACAGCGACTTGTACCGGTTGCAAGACTTCAATTTGGAGAGGTATTTGTTGCACGATAGTGTTGCCAATTACAACACTAGCAATCCCATAACAGGATAAAGTACGGGGAGTTCACCAAGGCAAAGGGGATAAAAGGTTTTGGATTCTTTTTCAGTTGTGACTGTCAAACTATATAATAAAATAATATTCTATGACATTAATTCTCTGTATTTGTTTTTCAAAGGGTTTAACCTGAACCAGGTCAAATAACAATGAAAAAAGGGAATGAAATACACACTGTAAAATATATTGGTTGTTTTTTTTAAATGCACTAGTACTGACATAAAGTCCAGTTATCTGGTAGGAATAAATGGTTTTGAGTTGAGTAAATGGAATTGAAATTGGGTGTGCTGGTGCTCATGCAGCTGTGGGTAGCTCTGGCATCTTATGAGTGGCAGTTAAATAACTAAAATAACTGGGGGAAAAAATCACCATCTGCTTTTTCACTCACCTCAGTCATTCAACAGACATGACTGATTTTAACAAGCTCATGTCACCTCTTTGAGAAAGTCTCATGAGTTGTAACTTATAGGGAAAATGGCAAAGCTTATATCCACTCTGTATGCTCACAGAGGAGATGGTTAAATATATTGATGTTACATGTAAGGACAAGTGTAACAACAAATATCCTGTTTATACAAATCCTAGGCTGTATAAACCTTTTTCAATCAATTAAATATGGTTTATTTGCCTGTCTCTTTCTAGAAAATATGTAAATGAGACAAAACCTTGTCTCCAAATGTCTGTTTATTTCTATCCAACCTATCTATCTAATGTATCAACCACAAATATATTATTTCTGGGAAGCACCATTGATGAGTTTCAGAAAACTACTTTATCGATCCCTTTCTGTAGAGGAGCAGTACGGCTTCCCCCAGCATGACTCTAGCAGCTCGGGACTCCAATCTGTCAAAACAGACGAGCAACCGGTCAATATGTGATGTATCAGAAAAGCAATCCTCCTCCAGTCCTATTGAAATCCTAAGCATTTTTAATTTGCTATTGATGTGCTATCAGATGGGAAGGTTTAAGGTTTTTGTAAGGTTGTCTCTATGTGTCTCTCACATAGAGGCAACGCTTCGTCAGTCCAGTGATGTCTGTTATGAGACACGACATTTGAGGCCACATGTCATCGGTGCATGACATTGAGGATGTGACGCATAACATATAAAATAAATATGCAGCGCAACCGGGACTATTGTGCGTTATCCTTAAGAGGTCATGGCTTCTGTGGAATTCCTTGTAACGTCAGGACTGCCGCAAGACATCTGCAGGAACACAGAAGTCATACTGTTACAACTGGAGCTACAATAATCAGAATGTGCAAGGATGTCTCACAAAAAATGTGGCTTATTGTCTGAGTCCTCGCCATCATAAAGTAGGAGAGTGATACATTTTGTAACAAGGTGGCAAATCCACCTTTGCTAAAGGGCACAAAGAAGAAAGGATCAACAATGAAGGAGAGATGGCAGAGGGAAGAGAGAAGTGGGGGAATTAGAGGAAAAGAGAGATGGGAGGGGATGGATGGAGGGAGGGATGAGGAGAGAGAGGGGTGGCTACCGTAAAATGCCAGAGTCAGCAGTAAAACCAGTCTGGGCCCTCTGCAGCGAGTGTGTTCGCACGTGTGCACACTGGTGTGCTTTTGCCCAGTCGGCATTAACACCCTTGAAAGTCACTGTGTCCTGAGGTGAACACCCCCATTGCGACTAAAGCCCCACTTCACCTTCCTTCTCTTTCTCCTTTACTGTCGTCCAAACATCCTTCTAACCTTCCATTTCACCTTCTATCCAGCTTATCTCTTGCTCCATCCACTCCTCTCTTTATTCATCCATTTCTTAATTACTTGAGAAATACCCCCCACCCCACCCTCTCTTGTTAATTTGTGCCATGTTTCTTGTTCCATGGCTCCCACCAGATAGTCTACAGTCTCTATCACCTTTGCAGCCACTGTCAATAAATCTTCACAGTGTAGTAGTGTTTAAATGTAGGGGGATGGTTAACGTACGTTCAGTATCAAAATGGCTCACAGACAACCCACAAGATTTCAGGGGTTGGCAAGTATGTTTATTTCTTGTTTGCGTGCTGGACATTGGGTGGAGCTTTTTTATGTAGAGTCTATGGTACAGAGTGAAGTAAGAGAAGTTTATGTTCTCCTGACTGTGCGTCCATGATCGACCAGATTCTGTTTTTTTTTAATCGATTTTATAGCCGATGTTTTTTATTACTGTTCACGTGATGTGTGGCTTATAAATAAGTTTGAATGATTAACTGAACTGCTGTTATTTTTTCTTAAATTGCGTGTCTGTTATTTCAGAGGTCTATTAGGCAATCGATACAATCTTCAGAGCCAAGTTCATGACTTTTTGAAATAAAAGCTCTGTTATTCAACTCGATATAAGCCATTACAGCAACAAAACAGACAGTGTGCTTTTACTTTGTGGACAAATTGCGAGTAAGTGATTCTATAAATGTAGCTACATGCTGGAGATCAGCATACGCAAAATCCACATATTTGGCTGTATCAGTCTTATATGGTGAAATAAAAATACCAAGTCATCAAACTGATCTGGCGGGACCATATTATTGCTGGCCTGCCAGTTTTGGCCCACAGGACTTGATTTTCTGTTATTGTTTTACGTTATGTATCAAAAATTATTGCAACAATAGCAGATGTTAAAATAGATGTTAAAAAGCTTCAGTTCCGTTTTAGAATAGACTAAAATTGAACTTGGATTCACCATGCTCCATCCCTCGTAGCCTTTCTTCTCCTCCAGTTCAGCTAAAGCATAGCATAAAATCCTTACCCATCCGTTCCCTCTTAACGAGGACAATTAAAGAGTGCTCTCCACTTTGAAGAAGCACTATTTTAAATAATTGAGTTTCATAACTTGGAGCATTGTTTCCCTTACAAGTGAAAGTCCATTTAAAAAGGTACTTAGACATTATAGATCCACCATAGGTCATCTCAACCTCACCGACTGTGAGGTGTATTGCTTGCACCTCTTTGAAGTACATTAAAACTTAGTGAAGCATCATCCTACCTCGATTAGCATTGAAGGCTGCTGGAAGCAAGGGCCCATGGTTGATAATGACCCTGAATACGTCTTCTATCAAGGAATATAGGACACTAAGAAAAATCATTCTCTTCCACTTCCACTGTAGCAGAAAGTCCTTCTCGTAGACTAATGAACATCTTTGACACAAGGTCATTGGAGGAGCGTAGGGTCAGTTGTTGGTCAACTGTCCAGCTTCAGCTAACAGAGGGAAGCCAGTGGAGGAGGAAGTAGAAACAAACTGCCTGTGTTTGGTGTAGTCTGGCAGGAAGAGAGTGACATTGAACCATGTCTGGCCAGAAACGAACAAGCCACTCACCAATACAGCTCGGGAGCATCTGTTTTCAAGCAGAGTCCCAAGAGATGTCGAGTCAGGCACACACAAACACACGTACCAACACACGTACCAACACATGAAGACACACACAAATTGAAAGTGTCTGGAAACAAACAGTGTTCGTTAGAAATGCACAGAGGCAGCATCATTAAGCGTGGGGTCAAGAAAGCTGCCAGTTGGCCGTTTCCCTTCTTGTTGCAGCGCTTCCCACTGTCACCTGATGATGGCTAACCTCAGCTCATGAATCTGTCAGCCAACACATACGGTGTGGCCTATAGGGACGAGCTCATTAGCCCGACAACACGCCTGCGAACAAGCTCCCACTTGTGTGGCCCAGCAATCTATCACAAAGCTGAGTGCCAGAGTGGCTCTTTCTAGAAAATCTGTCATTTTCAACACATTAATGGGGCTAAGTTGGGGTGTAACACATCAACATCCAGCTTTATATCAAATTGTTAACCTAGGCACATAGCTTCATTCATCTAGTTATCTCCTCCTGTTGCATGTTTGTTACATGGGATGGGACAAAAACATATTTAAGACAACCTTCTAGTTTTTTTTAGTGGCCATGTTTCATCAAATATAACAAAAAGCTCTAGTAGCTTAACAGTTTTATTTTATTCTCAACCGACTTTATGAGTAAATCCTCCACCTTCTCTGTGTTCCTCTCTATATCTCAACAGCTTCTGAGCCCAACCTGAAGCTTCGTTCCAGGCTAAAGCAGAAGGTGACGGAGCGCCGCAGCAGCCCTCTACTCCGCAGGAAAGATGGTCTAATCACTACTGCCAAGAAGCGTTCCCTGGATGTGGCTGGTGCGTAGTTTTGTTGCTCCATTATATCTGTTTTTTCAAATATTTTTTAGTACTTTGTTTGAACATATTTCAAAGATCACTGTTTGGATTTTGGCTTAATGTTTCATATACTCTAAATACGGAATATTGTTTGAGGAAAAAAATCTTATTTCTGTGTTGTGTGTATTTTAGAGTCTGCATGCAATAGTGCTCCAGGCTCTGGTCCCAGCTCTCCCAACAACAGCTCCAGTAACATCCCCAGTGAGAATGGGGTCATCATTTCCAGCAGCCCAGGAGAGGTAACCCACATTAGTTCGCGTGTGTGCATTTGTATGACTGCATATGCAAATACTTGTGTGTTATGGTGTTTGTGTGTATTAGGCAGTGTGGTCACCAAATGATTCCTGGAGGAGATTAGCAGTGTTTATTTTAATGGAGGGCTTCGTGTGTGTGTGTGTGTGTGTGTGTGTGTGTGTGTGTGTGTGTGTGTGTGTGTGTTACTACTTATATCTTTGTGAGGACCATTTTAAGCATAGACCCTGAAGAGTGAGGACATTTTGACCGGTCTTCACTTATTTAATGGGCTGTTTGAGGGTTAAGACTCAGTTTTAGGGTTTGGGTTTGGGTTAGGCGCTAGGGAGTGTATTGTGTCAGTGAGTTTCCTCACTAAGATAGAACTACAAATGTGTGTGTGTGTGCACGTTTTTGTGTGTGTGTGTACACTTGTACTTCTTTTTGTTAAGTTTGTTAAGTCATAGACCTTACAACGTGAAGACATATTTCTGTCTTCAGGGGTTAAGATTTGGGTTTATGGTTTCACTTATAACTAGGATAAGGCTCAACTTTGTTTATTTGTGCTTATTGAAGTTAGTTTTTGTGTAAAATAGCATTTATTGCAATGTTTTGTGGTTGTGTATGTCCAGGCCTCCCTGCTTCAGAGATTGGCAGCGAGGGAAGGGTCTCTCAGCCACCTGTCTTTATACACCTCTCCGTCTCTGCCCAACATCACCCTGGGACTGCCAGCCACAGGCCTCACTAACACTGTGAGTACATTGACACAATATTATATAATTTTAACATGCACAGAAATTGTGTTTGAACACATTAAAATACATTTACAACATTCACTGACAGGTTACTTTATGAAAAAGAATAATGGTAAACCAACAATCATAGAGCTTTTGTCTTTCTGATTCTGTACATGAAGTTTGCAGATTCCAAAAACTGAGGCTCTAGAGATTATTTTCTGATCCCAGATTTTTGGCATCTTTCAAGTCCCTCTGTCTCTCTCTCTGATTCTCTCTGTCCATCTCACTCATTCTCTGTCTCAATTGACCCTTCTGTCTCCATCCATCTGTGTCTGCTTGTGTCGTCTTCTTCTCACTCCTCATGTCTTCTCTCTCTCTCTCCCTCTATCTTTGTAGGTGGTATCAGGACACCAAGATGGTGAGAGTCATCTGCCCGCGTTACAGCAGGGCATTCCTCTGACCCCTCCTTTCTTGCCCGCTGCCCACCTGCCCTCCTACTTGGCATCTTCAGCGTTGGACAGGGAGGGGGTGGGAGGGGGCACAGCTGGTCACAACCCCCTTCTCCAACACATGGTGCTGCTGGAGCAGAGCCAAAATCCAGTGGGTCAGTGTTCATTACAATATTCATTTTCCTTACTGCTCAACATTGAGTGGCTGGTTTCTCAATTAATGATTGTGAAGCAATTACCATAATAATATACAGCACTCTTTATTTCCCGCTGTCAGCTGGGCTACTGGGACTGCACATATCTGTAATTTGACTGTTATAATGCATGCAGAAAAACTCTTGATGGGATGACGAGACATATAGTAAGTTTATTATAAAGAGTAATTCTGTTAGAATAGCTTCCTCTTTTATTTGACTATAAATCTTACACAAGACTCTTGATCTGCAAGTTTTTAAGTGAGTAAGTACATAGTAATAATTATCAATAGTATTTTGAAGATAAATCGCAGGACTGTTAAATGTAACTTCAACCTTTGCCTTGTACTCAAAGCAAAATTATGGATTTTTTTATGACCTGGGACTCATTTGTGTAATCCTATTAGCAACAAAACATTTTACTCAACAGCTTAATCACATAAATTATGACACGCTGCAAACTCATTAAATACAAAAGCCCACAGGGCCTCACAACCATGAGGCATTGGACACAATTAAGTGAGCAAGTAAAAATATAATTGTAGCCACAAATATTTAAATGTGACTGTGTTTATTAAAATAAAAAAATAATGATAATAAATTGACTTTAACCACTCTGTGTTCAACACAGTTGGGCTGGGTGGTCTTTCGCTGCCGTCACCCACTGTCTCCAAGCTTGCACGGGGCCACCGTCCCCTGGGGAGAACCCAGTCAGCCCCACTGCCCCAGCAGCAGTGTGGACAGGCCCAGGCCCTGCAGCAGCTGGTGGTCCAACAACAGCACCAGCAGTTCCTGGAGAAACACAAGCAACTGTTCCAGCAGCAGCACATCATCAACAAGGTGTGTGTGTGTGTGTGTGCGTGCGTGTGTATTTGTCCATTTACACGACACTGATTTGGTTAATGTCTGTGAATCCTGTCTCAGGTCCAAGAGCAGGATGAATCAGCCTGCAGTTATCAAGTCTTCTCAGCAGTCTTTCTTGTCTATGTTCATGTATCCCTACTTCTCCCTGTCACCCTGGCAACTGTGCTCTAAGGAAGCTGCCTCCATATATGGCCACACAGGAAATGACCCACTGCATCCTTGTCGATGTGTGTGTAGTGTGTGCTTATATATGCGGCTGTGTGTGTGCACGACGTGATGAGGGGAGTTGCAGCACTGTAAGTGTCATTGTCAAGAGGGAGATGGCTCTTTGTGTTTGTGCGTGCGTCACTCTGCGTGTGTGTGTGTGTACCGAACTTCCTGTAGGATTCAGCTCCATTATGTGTGTGGTGTTTGGCTGTAAGTGACTCCCTCTGCTTTGAGACTGCAGGCTTTTGTGAGTCTGCAGCTTAGGTGTAAAACCAAGTTATTTTCATGTAGTAAGTTGTGTTAATGCTCTTATCCAGGCAACTTAAAATTAGAATGTGACAAATCAGTGTGGATGGCGTTTTTTAAAAAAAAATAAACCAATATATATATTTTTGTTGCTTAGGTTTATTTAATTCATTTACCTTCTAATTCTACCATTTTCTGTCTGTATGTGGAATGCATATTTAGTGAACCGTGAGTCTCATTGGCTTCACACTTGGAACGTTAATTGTAGTGGAGACTTAGCTAGATATTCATGGTTGCAGTTCTCTTCATAGAATCACTTCCTCTTTAGCAAGTTGTCTTCAAAGTAAAAATTCAAAAATCAAAATCATTATATGAAAAAGATTGACTAAAATCATCATTGCAGATAAACCAGGTAGGGTGAACAACGTTTTCTAACTTCACTCAGTTAGTCACCATAGACAGTTTGTCTTCAGCCCGCAGTTATCAAGTCTTCTCAGCAGTCTTGCACACAACATCCCCCACACGTCCTCCTCACAAACAATAAAAATGTGACAGTATATTGTAGAACTGTTTGAGGAATGACAATGAATCTGCAGTAGCTCCATACCACAACACAGGACAAGTAACCAGTCATGTTTAGAACAGGCACTGCACTATTCATTTTAATGTAAGCCAGTCACTCCAGTTGTGTAATAACCAGATAGTAGTTGCAAAGTATAAATCTACAGTAGCCAGTGCAGATATCTCTAAACCAGTCATGTTGACTTATGAAGTAAGAAGCCATGTTTACTTCCTGCTCGCAGTTTATTGTGCCCATATTTTGTGTTAAGCTGAATTTTGTTTTTCCTGTTTTATTTTTTTAAATATCGAATATCGTGTTCTGACTATGAACACAATTCCAGCGTCACATAGACAAAAGATGTGTTTACAGACAGCATGGCTAAATGCTTTTGGTCTTTTTCAAACAATTATTGCTGTAATATAATTCAGTCAAATCAAAGGTTTACAGTTTCTAGAAAAGCAAACCACATGTGTAATCCCCCTGTCATCAGCAGAATTACGTCCACTGTAAGCTCCTTAAATCTGTTTTAAAGCAACACATGCTCCAAGTTTCTCTTCAGATCACTGAGAATCTTCTCTTAATGTTTCACTTTACGACAGAACAACTCTACAAATCACTACCTCGTGACCTTTGTGAGTGTGTAATTATAGAGGAAGCTTCAAAACCACGTACTGTCGCTGCTATCAATGTTATTCACATTACTTCTGCTGACATTATCAGCAGATTTGCAGTAACTCATGGTGGCTCAGTGTGCAGCCCACTAGTCTCACTGAAATCAGCTGATGTCTGTCTTTTTGGTGTCTGTGTGTTGATGGGGTCTTTGTACAGAAACTACACTGTATCTTTATACCACTTGCCTAATCCCCTTTCTACATTTTCACTGTATTCAGACACCAGTCAAGTGTTAACATCAATGCTTGTCACAAGTTGTAAGGGTTCAATTAACTCCTCCATGTTAAAGTTGATGGTGTTTATTCAGTGAGCTAGAGCCATACAACGTGTTGTTCGCATTTAAAGGTCAGATAGCTTAATGATCTGCGTTTTATTTTTATGATACCACACTTCAAATATGACCTGGAATGAGGAGGGTGTGTTAGTTGAACTTCCAATTCAAAGCAAAAACATTCAAAACGCATTGACGTTCTCATTCAGACTTTGAGATAATTGCTGCTTTAAGTTAAGATTTAAGTAACTGTCAGAAGCAAACAATGTGATTAAGCAAGAATAATCTTGAGCTGGTGATCTGTGTAACCATGCACTAATAGTAAAGTGACCATTAAATCCATCCATCCATCATCTGTAGCCCTTCTCCATCGAAGGCTGCAGGGGGACCTGGAGCTAATCCCAGTTGACACGGGCCTACAGTCAATTTAGAGTCTCCAATTAATTAACCAAATCTGTCTTTGGTCTGGAGGAAGCCCGAATTCCCCAGAGAAAACCAATGTAGGTTGAACATGCAAACTCCTGACAGAAAGACCCCTGAAAAGACCGGGATGTGAACCACTAACCCTCCTGCTGTAAGGCCACATTGGATGTTTTTTTCTAATATTAATGTATGCACTTGAATCCACACTAGTCCTTTTCTTCCTATTACAAAATTTAATTTGAATAGATTACACGTCCCCAGCTAGTCGTTGCCTTTGTTTTGCCTTTTAACTGCCTTTAAAAGAACATGGCACAAGGGGAAATGTAAAAAGTAGCCCAAGGAAACACTGTTTTATTGCTGCATAATAAAGTCAGCCTCTTAAAACTAGCAATTCCTTTCTGTTTAATACGAGTAAGTAGAATAATCCAGACTGCAGCAGTCCCTGCAGAATGATTGAAAATACCACTTCTCTTCACAGTGACAAGCACCACCATGGCTGCCACTGAATTAGATTATTTCCACATATACTAGGAAGTGCAATGTTACAAACTATTCTCACAAATACTCCAGTGGTGTGTTTATTTCCATTTATTTACCCTGTCAACCACTGGAGACCAACCGCTTTGTAAAATATGAGTCATCCGTGGCCTTCCTTCCTTTCCTTGTTCACATTTTTTTAGTCAAGTCAGCAAGGAAAGTGGGCACTTCCTGCAAACTTCAAATTTGGCTTTAAACAGTTAGACATGTTGGCAGCAAAGAAAGGAATGAAAGAATCTTGAATCAGTTCCAGCCTGAGCCTCCTGCCTCCACCGCTAATTATCTCAGACAGCTAGGGCAACACTGTGGTATACTTACTTAACTGATATTGTTGTCAAAGTGTGTGCATGTGTGAAAGAGAGAGTTAGATATGTTGAGTCAACTAGAGTCAAGTGTTTGTGTATGCAAGCACCTTCTCTTCTCCACCTCCCGCTCTCTCTGTCTTTCAACAGGCGTTATTAGTGTCTGTCCCCCCAGCAAGGTTCATATCCCAGCAACTATTTCCTCTGTTGAAGAGGAGGAGGGGGAGGAGGGAGGGGGGGTGGGGGTTGAGAGAAAAAGAGCACAACAAGAGAGAGAGAGAGTCAGCACAGCAGCAGTGGAAGAGTGTTTTGAGTTTGTTTGGAGAAGAGGGACTGGGATGAGGCAAGAGCCTGCTCTTTGACGTCAATGGACTGTTCCCTGGGCAATATGCCAGTCGAGTGTGTGCGTACGTATGTGTGTCTTTTTCTCTGTGTGTGTTAATGTGTGTGTGTTCCATGTACTGTGGGCCACTCCAATCATGACCTGCACATCAAGGTTGAGGTCTTTGACGACAGAGACAGGGACACAGCAAATCTCCCTAAAAATCACCCCTCTGCATTTCTTCCTCTCTTTTTTCCCCTCATGTCTTTAGCTCAGTTTTTTCTTCTCTGCCACAGGCTCAGGCACAGTGCACGTACCTGTGTTAATTATAAGTAGTCATAGAGATTTAAAACAAACAAACAATCAAACAAAGAGTCCAGAGTACAGATCTGGTTTATCTCTATGTACAGATAGTACAAGTGCCTGCCTAATGTTAGCTTTTGTTTGATTGAACTTTGTGTTCTTTACATTGTTTTTGTACTGGAGCTGATCAGTTAGCTATTTTTGGAATAGAAAAACATGTGCAGTGTACCAATACATGTTGAAGTGGTGCAGGTTTTCTAGCGTTGCACATTGTTGTCCCTGATGTTCTCTCAGTTGAGACAGCAAGATTTTGCTTCCCTCTCCTGTCTTGTGTCATTAAAGCTACATTTCTCAAGATTTCACAAGATTCTATTTTCTCTTGTTTGAATAAATGTCTTTGTTAATTGTTGCTCCCAACAAGACAAAAGAAAACAGTGTTTCAGCCTCACATATACAAACTGTTTTATTTAAAAATAAGGTTTTATTTTGCTTTTTGCCCTCACTGGTTATTTGTTATAGCTTACTATCACCCTTTATCTCATACCAGTTGATTCCTTTGATTTCAACATTTGCTTCACAGTTTGTTTTCAGAACATAAGACCCAACAGAAATTAGATCTATAATCTTAGCAATGTCAAGTAAAACTTCCCACCTAAAGGTCTGGTTTCTCTTTTTGTCCTCTAGATAATTTCGAAGCCCGGCGATCAGGTCTCCTCCGCATGCTCCATCGCCTCAGGGTCGGCCAGGCAGCATCAGAGTCACCCAGAGGAGACAGAGGAGGAACTCCGGGAGCACCAGGGGCTGTCCTCCTTGTCTTCATCCTCTCCCTCCGTGCAGGAGACAGGGCCGCTCCGGGGGCTGGTCATCAAGCAGGAGCCCCCAGACCTCCAGGAGCAGGAGGAGATGGAGCAGAGGGAGAGACAGGCTGAGCAGGACTTCTTGTTCAGACAGGTGAGGATGAGGGGAGAGGGTTGTGGAGAGTGGGACTGGGAGTAGAAGAAGAAGTTATAATTCAGACGTGAAAGAGAATGAGGGGCTTACATGAAGAGGGAGTTGTGGAAATTATAGACTGGGCGTGATTCGGTTTTAATGCAGGCAGTTGTGACAGATGGCACTAACAGTAACTGGCTGAAACATTTTACTGTACCTTTCATTTGCCTTTCTTCAAAACTGACTGAGCAGTCAACTTTAAAGTATAATTTAAACTTCTGTACGTTTGCATATATTCATACAAAACACACTTGCACTCACAACTCGTATACTGCTCATGCACAGTGATGTGTTTCATGAAAAGCTTAGGGTATGGAAAACCTCCTCCACACTGCATATCTACATGCATGCCATCCATGTGCGCCTTCACAGAGGCTCCTTTTTTTTTTTTTTCATTACTTGTCTCCAGATGCGTACGACGTGTATTATCTGTCTCTGTTTGGCTTGAAATTGATCCGTGACCACGAACACGCACGCCCACACACGGCCAGGACACCGTGTCCTCTTCTGTCTTGCCCATCCCTGCTGTCCACTCACCCAAATTTAATCAGCCACTCTTCTCACTGTCGCCATGGTGGCCATAGTGTAAGAAGACCCGCCTATTAGAATAGAATAACAGGACTGCATGGTCAGACTCTTTTTCAGTGGAAAATATTTCACTCTGTTACATATAAATAATTTCCAGTCTCTAATATGAGAGACTTTAAAACCAACCTTTTAATGCGTACATGTTCAAAAACCTGAGTTCTCACTTTGCTCACTCTGGAGCTTTCTAATTGACGTCATCCTTTAAACTCTCATGATCATCATAATGTGAAGTCACTCTAAGAATAAGAATAAGATTCATAGTTTGCATTATCCTTTTTTCTTTAAACGGTAAGAATCGTCTTTTCACCTTAAAACTCTCATCAAACGTATTATAAAGGTGAATAATCTGTCATTCCAAATATTTCACAGTGGAATTTCCCTGAATTACTTTCTTATTTTTGTAAATGTTTGGTCTTGTCATTTAAACCTCTGCATAATTGAACTGAAAACTAGTACCTCCCTGTGCGACACAATAACATCTTATTGATGCAGTGTGTATGTTTCAGTAGAGCAGCTTCACATTTCTATTGTAAGTATCTAGTGCCATCTTCTGGCATTAGAATGACATTGCAGTCCACAGTTTACTGGATGTCACTGTGTGTGTGTGTTTGTCCATGAAAGCAGCAGGCCCTGCTGTTAGAGCAGCAGCGGATTCACCAGTTGAGGAACTACCAGGCCTCCATTGAAGCAGCTGGGTTATCAGCCAGCTTCGCGGGACACCGCCCGCTCTCCAGGGCCCAGTCATCTCCAGCCTCCTCCTCCTTCCCAATGGCAGTACAGGAGCCGACCGCCAAGCCTCGATTTACTACAGGTCTGGTAGAAATACAACCCCTAATAAAAATAATATGGAACTTACACTGAATATCAAATGCTCTTTTTTATTTGTATGTCTGTTGCTTTCACACTGAAACACATTATGAAGTAGATTAGCAAACAAAAATCTAGAAACACACTGTCTTCCTATTATGTGGTTACTTTTCACAGGTTAACTTTTCCTGAAAATATACTGCATGATTAACCCATTTACAGTAGCAACATTTATGCACATATTTGTTGGCAATAAAAAACACAGTGTTATTCACTGCACAGAATTATCTCATCTCCCTGGACCCTCTCCAGCACTTGACATTTCCTCAATGAAGCTATTAGATAGAGATAGAGAGAGTGATAGATAATTACACTTGTCTTGATTATAGAAATCATGTTTTTAAAGATGCATAATTACATAGAATGTGTCTGTGTGTTCGTGTGTGTGTTCCAGGTCTGGTATATGACTCTCTAATGCAGAAGCACCAGTGTATGTGTGGAAACACCACCAGTCATCCAGAGCACGCCGGACGTATCCAGAGTATCTGGTCCCGACTACAGGAAACAGGCCTCAGAGCGCACTGTGAGGTAAGGCCAAAGTTACTCTTGATAACACAGAGGCGTGGCTTTATGGATTCATATAATAAAGTTTTATTAATTCACTTCCACAGAAACAGAGTTGATTAGACAGTTCACCAGAAATAACACAGGATTAACATGTAAATTACTCCCTGTGGATTTGCATCTCCAAAATAGGAATTCATTTCATCTGCTGAAAGAAATTGTTGACCCAGTTTAGATGGACAGTTGTTCCATGTTCAATCCAAAGTAATAAACACGTGCTACATTTCTTCAAAAGTTGTTTATCACAAGTTTTAAGTGTAAATCCAACATTCATACATCCAACACTCAGTGGTAGATTATTATCCTTGTGAGATTCTGAGTGCGTATTCCCATTAAACAAAATATATAAGTACAACTTCAACATTTCTAACTCTTCGTTGTTTTATGCTAAATCATTAAGGAATTTGATATTGGTAGTGCTTGTGTTATGTATAGTTATGTTGTCTTTGTGGATATTAGGTTTTTTCTTTTTTGTACTACTTGCTAAGGGATTCTAGTTTTGCAGGTTGTTACCTTGACCAGAAGGGGGCAGTGTTTAGCCGTATCTGTTGACACTGCTGCACACACACACACACACACACACACACACACACACACACACTGTGCAACTCTTCCTCACTCAGGGTGCACATTACTGGCTGTGGCAGTTTGAATGGAGAGCATGGAGACCCACTCAAATGTTCTGTCCATTTCTCTTTCTGACATCTCCCCTGTACTTCTGTGTGTACAGTGTATCCGTGGTAGGAAGGCCTCACTGGAGGAGTTACAAACAGTCCACTCTGAAGCCCACGTCCTGCTCTATGGAACCAATCCACTGCGGCAAAAACTGGACTGTAAGAAATACAGTTACGCTCAAACAGTACAATAGACAGATACACTTAATCCAGATGTACGTTGCTCTAGCACCGTCTTTACAGATTTCCTAAGAGATTCATGTGTTGAAGACTGTGAAATGTTTTATCATGAAATATATGTTGTTAGATTGTTGGTACTTCACACACCTGGTACAATCTCAGGATAAGAGATTCAGCACAAAGCAGACAACAGCACTACACGCATATATATTCATATATATATATATATATATATATATACATGCAACATGAAGTATAATCAGACCCATGCTCCGACTGGCCTGTCATGTGAATACCATGAAGCTGTAGTGTCTGTTAAAGGAATCTGCTTTACTGTTTTACCAAGTGTCATAACCAAAGGTCCAATGAAATAAATTGAGGTGGAGGTGTTCCGATAAGGTGACGACCGGCCGGCGCTGTTAAACTGAGTCGCAGCAGACTGCTCAGTCACTTAGGTCGAGGCTTTGTGGCTCCAAGAGCAGGTGTAGTCAGTGTGTATGTGCGTGTGCGCATGTGTGTCAGAGAGAGTGCTAAAACCTGAGGAGCGAACCCCAGTGAACATCTAAGCTTTCATTCCAGTGAAGACATAAATTCTCCTTATTATTGCAGCGTACACAGGAGTATTACCAGATACTCCTGTGTACGCTGCAGCACACAGGTGGATTTACACACACAAAGGAAAAGTAGGGGAAGAGAGGGAAAATGCAAACTGTAATAAAACCACAAAGATGGCAGGTAGTCACAGATTAAAGGATTTGTAGTTAATATATTACAGGGGTTATCTATTACAGGCCGTTTCTTTTTTCAGACACTGTTGTACGCTGTCTTTAAATGTGGCCTCTCATTGTACACACTCATGCAGATACTGCCAACTGTTTTTACTGAGCTCGGTAAATGCAGTTTTTCTCATCATGCACCTGCAACATGGAATAACATACAGAACAATCTACAGCTCAGGTCATTTTTATACTTTGGGCAATTTAAGTTTTTAATTTACTTAATAAACTTATTTTACCTCCTGCTGTTCTTTCTTTAGTTGGTTTATTTGAGTTATTCGTTTTAAATGTTACTTTTGCTCTTGATTTAGCTATTTTATGTTACTTATTTGTGTTTTCTTGGCATCCTGGAATGTTTTTTTTTATTTTCTGTAAGATAAATTTTGAATGAAAAGTTGCTCATTGAGACTTGGAGCCCTGACCTGAATAAAGCAAGTGCCATTCTCTGCCCGTTGAGCTACAGATGTCTGCTCTTCCACTCAGGAAACTTTACTCTAGTCCGGTTGTCATCACTGGTTTGATATCAGTTTAAAGTCTTGAAACATTGAGCAGTAAAATTTTTATGTTGCAACATTTCTTAAAAGTCCATCACCAGGTTAAATAGTATAACAGATCAATTCAGAGAGAATCGCTCACAGAAGTAAAAAAAAGATTTGTCTGTTGGACTTAACCAAAGGTTTACTATGTATTTTGGACAGAGATAAAAATGAAGGCTCAGAATGTGAAAGGAAAACAACATTGTAGTTTCCATTTGAAAGTAATCAAATTCAACAAGTCAGCGATTTTTCAGTTTATGTTCTGATCTCTCAAAGAAACTGAAGATTATTCATTTCCCATCCCTTTCTGGCCTATAACCTCGATTTCCCTGAAGAGGGGGTTTGATCCTGAAGGCAATGAGATACTTTTTTTTTTGTCTTCACCTCACCCAATTCAAGCATGCCTCTGTGTACTCTCGCTGTTAGATCAGGTCAGGAAGTCAAATGCTCAGATTCAGGGGTCATGCACCCATTTTTGCCTGCAAGTCCACAATATCACCTCTTCACCTCCCGAACTTTTACTCTTTCTTTATCAATTTCCCAACTGGTTCTCATTTTATTTCCCTCTTTCCCAGGTTCAGTGAGTCCCATGTTTGTGCGGTTACCATGTGGAGGCATCGGGGTAAGTCTTGTCTTTGTACCGCACATAAGTCATTTCACAAACATTCACAGCCCAATTAAGTGTTTGTAATTAATGTGCCTGATATTTCTTGGAAATTACTGGTGTTAAGTCACGCTAGTTTATTCAGTGGAAAATAGTTGTAATAGACTTGTTGCCTTTTTTACAGCATTGTGTAACTCTAATCAATACCCGACTGGCACGGCTCCATTTGACTTGGTAATGAAACAAATAGTTTCAGCATCATCAAATACGAGTATAACAACTGTTTCCTTCGCCCACTCTCTGTCTTTCTCTCTCTCTGTCTCTCTCTCTGTCTCTCTCTCTGCCCCCTGTGTAAATAATAGTCCCATTTGTTCCTGTTCTACCAACAAAAAAAACATGCACACACACACAATCTTAACACACTTGCACGCACTCATACAAATACTGCCCCTCGAGGACCAGAGGCAACAAAAGCTGTTGCTTGCCTTTCCGCCATGTTTGTAATTATAACCAGATGTTTTTAGCATATGAGCTCTGTGTGTGTGTGTGTGTGTGTGTGTGTGTGTGTGTGTGTGTGTGTGTGTGTGTTGGTAGGGTGGGGGGGGTATGTTTTTGTTTGTGTGCATACCAGTGTGTTAGGACCTTTGTGCAATGATTTAGATGGTCGTTCTGAGTAGGAAGTGCTGTCTTTTGAAACTGATATGTTAGAGCAGTCATACACCTTCTTTTGTGTGTGTCTGTGCGTGCGTATGATTGTGTGGTCCAGTAGTTACTCATGTTGTGGGGACCTAAACCTGTACACCGTCTCATAATGTGGACCTGTCGTCCTTACTGCTACAAAAAGCTAGACCTTGAGTCATAAATCATAAAATATTGAGGTGAGGACTTAGAGAAGGGTTAGATTTAGGGTTTAGTAGTTATGAGTAAAGTGTCCAGGAAATCAATGTAAGTCAATATTTGTCCTCTGAAGTCATGGAACATATGAAAAAGATTAAATCCATACACCTAAAGCTCTAATGAAAATGCTAGTGACGTTTTGAGCACAAAACTTTCTGAAGTCAGATTTTCTCTTTCTCAAACATTTTGTGATGTGTTGTCGATTGAGTAACCCATCAAAATATATATTTTTTTACTGGTTGTTTCCATTTTTGACTGAAAAGAGACACTACTGTCTCTATGTTGTCTTTTTCACAATATTGAGGCTTTCAAAAGGCCGACCTAGCATCAATCATCCACATGCATATATACCTACATTGGCCTTGACTTGCTCTTTCCACATCTCCTTTCTACATCTCTCTTACCTCTGTAGTCTTTAACCCACCCTCCCCTCTCCCTTGGGGGCTTACTGTTGCTGCTTTGGTGGGAACAAGAAGAGCCCGAGCGCTGCGCTGCCCTGTTCTGCTCTTTATAATGGCAAATGGGACTAAATTGTTGTCTTCCTGTCATACACACACACACACACACACACACACATACAAGTAACACAAACACACACACATAAAGAGGAAGGGGGCTGAAATTAGGCTGTCAGCCTGTGGACAACCATCATTCCGTCATTCCAGCACGTTCCCGCTCTTTTTTTTTTCTTTTTTTTTACCTCGGACACACACATATACACGCACACTTCTTCCTTTTCACTTTTTCCTGACTAGCTGTGTCCCACTCCTAGCTTGAGGCAAAACTAACATCAACATGGGAAATAATAAACCACTCAGTCTCCACATGCTGCTTTTAGAACAGCATCTGTTTGTGCTCATTAACATGACTTGTGTATTTGATTCAGTTTCCCATTCACTCACTCATTTGCTCGCTCGCTCAGTCACTGACTCAACCACTACATAGTGTCTTCCATTCACTACTCGTTCCTCTCCAGTCAGTCACCCATCAGCAATGCTCTCTATACCTCCTCTCTCCCTCTTCCCAGTTTTTTGATCTATGGTTAACGCTCCACAGTTTTATTTCATGACAAAGTCTTTCTTGGCACAACTTAAAAAGAGACATTTTTCTTCCCTGTGGATGTCATTATGGAGTCCTCCTCCAGCCTTGATCACTCCCGTCACCGGAGACAAGAGGAAAGTGGGCGGACTGGCCGAAAAGCTGTCAAGTCGCTTAACACACCGACTGGTTGAAGGCGTGAAGGGCTGACTGAGTGGCGAGGGTTAACGTGCGACTTAGCCACTCGACTGACTGAAAGGCAGAGAGTGAGTGTGGATGCAAAGGCTGGCTGTCTGACGGAATGAGTGACTGGCAGGTTAATGTTTTAACATATTCAAAGTAGAAGAGCTCCGGGTTTACATCACAAAGCTTCACTAGAGCTCTGGCATCGGCCGCTCTGCACATGTGTGCACAGTTCAAACACACTGACACACAGTGCTTCCTTTTCTTCTTTTCCACTGCCAGCTCCTTCTCTCTGTGTTTATCATGCGCTCCATCTGCCTGCAGTATCTGCCATGTCTGATGGAGGATGTGTATATTATCCTGTGCATGTCCCTGGGTACAGTCAATCATAAAGTATATTGTGTTCCATTTGGCTTGTGTGAGTTTGTATATATGTGTGTGTGTGTTATTGTGACTGGTGCTGAAGTTTGTCCGTGCCTCAGCATTAATCAGGCCTGACCACTGAATGGTTGCCCTGTGTCTAAACATCCTCAAGCACACCGCACACATACAATCAATCCTGAAATCTTTTCACTCTATAAATACACAAATAAATGCATTCAAGCCCAAAAAATCTTGCTCCATTCCGGTTCATCAAAATCATAGAACATAGGAGAGTTTAAATTATTACTCTCATTTTGTTTCTGATATTTCCAGACTTCTACGTCATTTTTTTGTAATCAGAAATCAGCAGTAAGCTGCCAATAGTCAATATTTCAGTGCAGTAGATTTAATTTTGGCCATTTCCATGATTCAACTTTTTATCCAGGGCTTAAATCCTTCATATCAAAGGCAACCAACAATTTAAATATGTAAAAAAATATATTATTACTAGAATCTGAAATTTGTCATATAATTGTAATCATCAGCAAATAAGAAAGAACAAAACCGCTGAATAAAACAAACAAACATGTTTTCATTTTATTCCAATACAAACTGGTAGTGATTAACCATATCTACCCCATGGCACATTAAATGTTCAGAAAGTATAATCTCTTACTCCTTAATAAATGGATTCGTTTGACTCTTTTTAGAAATAAAAAGTGATGGAAACAACACTACTATGTGTGTGTGTGTGTGTGTGTCGACAGGTGGACAGCGACACCATTTGGAATGAGGTCCACTCATCCAGTGCAGCTCGTCTGGCTGTCGGCTCAGTGGTGGAGCTGGTCTTCAAAGTGGCATCGGGCGAACTGAAGGTTGGTTTGAAATCTCTGTGGAGTCTAATGAGAGTCATGGCTCTTTTGCCTAAAGGATTTGTCATTTCTGTATATCTTTTGCATGAGGATAATTCTGTGCACACATATAATAATCCTTGAGAAGATGACAACGTGAAACAACGTTCAGATAAAAATCACCTAAATGGATTCCATCACTTAGACTTTAATGGTTTTCATGTCGGTCTGCTTGTCAAATTTAACTGCGTCATTTCTTTTTCCAGCGCTGTTCAACTTCAGACAGCCTCATACCTGAACAGAGAAAAGGAAGCAGAGCACATACTCTGAATCCTAGTGATTCTGGAAATGTTTATTGAAAGTATTGTTGAAGGATTAATCAAACCTCGTTACACCAGACACGTATTATGCACACTCCAAACACCTCAGGAAAAGACAAACCTCCTCCCAGAGCATCTATCCCAAGGCTCGTTAGCACCTCCCAGACAGACCTCCCCACCCCCGTCATGGTTTACCCACCAGCCAGCCTTCCTGTGTCTGTGGCGATGGCTGCTTACTGTTTGAACTCAGCAGGGAGGCACAGAGCACGGGCTCTGCAAATGCTAACAGTCCCCACTGCAGGCCTGCTTTATTAGTATTACACCACAGCCACCTGCAGAGCAGCCGGCGCACTTAGTGTTAGCTTAGCACCAACACAGCGTAGACTAGACGCAGAAGCATAAACTAGGCTTAATGACATTCTTTGGAGAGACAGTAGCACACCATACAGTCAGTACCTCTTCTACATGTGGGCATATTTACAAGAAAGAAGTCTGCTCTTTCTGTACAGCACATTGTGTGATTTGTCATATCACAGTTTGAAAAGTAAATCAAATGTACTCCGCAACCCAGGAGAAACTTGTGGATTTGCTCCAGCAGGGGTTATAGTTCACAGGTATTGACCTGCCCTTAGCGTAACCTGATTTTAACATATACGTGCAAAGGTATACATATGATCATATACACATACATATGCAGTCACACATGCAGTCGGTCCTCTGAGGATCCTCTCCAGCCAAATTACCAAATTCCACCTGCACCAACAACTCTCTGAACTCCACAGAAAGCCATAAATCTATGCAGGGCGCACACACACTGTCACACATTTCTGTTTCTACATCTGCTCTTTCTATTACTCTTTCCGTGTCCTTTTTCAATCCATTGATATTTTTCTTCTGCACATACAATATGCCAATTCCTGTCTCTTATTCACCTATGTGCATGCTGCATTATGCAACTTGCTGTAACCAGGTGTCCTCAAACCATCCAAGACAGTTGTCTCTACAATAATCTCCCGGCTAGATGCTAATCCACTGCAGCTGACTCAACATCATTAGTTGAGCTCGCCTCGCTCTACATCAGCCTGAGCCTCTATCTAATGTCCCCACATAGTGCAGCAGTGGGAGCCACCAAAACACAAAACAGAGTCCCACTGGTCTCTGACTTAACAAAGCTCCCCTTAACTGACCCAGTGTAAGCATCTGTTCCTGCGTGCGTGCGTGCACGTCTGAATTGTGCTGCTTTTTTAAAAATCTGTTCTAAATCTTAAACTGTGACATGAAAATAATTGTTGTGAGAGATATTTGGTTTGATGTAGATATACAAGTACTTCAGATTGAATTAATTACTTGGACCCAAAGTGAACTGATGAGAATTTGGAGGCTTTTGAAGTACTGTTTGTATATGTGTTGTTTTTTGTGGCGGTTTTTCTTGTGTCTTTTATTGTGCAACCCTAAACCTGACACCACTTTTTCTGACTGGGAAAATTCTGGGAAGGCCGGGATAATGTAATTTTTTCATGTCATGGAAATCATGTCATTAGATTACAGTAATCAGGTTTAAGGTCAGACACAACTAACCTCAGTGGACCGTGACGGTTTATGTAACAGTGTAAATGATCTTTGTTTTTCCCCGACAGAATGGTTTTGCTGTAGTGCGTCCACCTGGACACCATGCTGAGGAGAGCACACCCATGTAAGTAAATCTGAACTGGAAAAACCTAAGCAGAAATGCCCCTTTCCCCTTTAGTGCATCGTTACTTACATTCTCTCACATCTCATAAACAAACATAAATGTACATCTTAAAGAAATGTATAACCACTGCTTTGTTTATGTCATCTCTTTCACCGTCTGTCCTCAGGGGCTTCTGTTATTTCAACTCAGTTGCCATTGCAGCCAAGCTCCTGCAGCAAAGGCTCAATGTCAGTAAAATCCTCATTGTGGACTGGGTGAGTTCTGCAGGCAACGCAGTGGATTGTTTGTTACATAATCATCTATTTGGAGAAGAATGCACATCTATAATGTACATACATACACAGCCACTCCCTCCTGAGCTCATAAAAGTATTCCCTGTGGTTTCATATGAGTTGTATTCCCAACCATCTAACTAGTGCAAATACTATTAAAAATGCATTGTTTTGGTGTCACTTCTATCAACCTTTCCTCTAGTAACATTCATGAGCTTTCTATTTATCATACTCTAAAAAGTAAACTTTGCATAAGACCATCCTCACTTCCTATTAATCTAAAAATTGACCACTGTTAAGTTTATGCCTGTCGTCCATGCTACTCTAGAGTTTTGAAAACAGACGTTTGGAAACGCTGCTGGTTTTAGTATGAAAACTCTGCTGTAGTATGAACAGGCAGAAGCAGACATGTTGGAACGATAATGCAGTCACCCATGTTTTCTTCATGATCGATTCTAAACACTCAACTACAAGTGGTGAATGCAAAGTGCTGTAAACACTTACTTTCAAAAGTTTAATCTCATTGTCAGTCCCAAAAAGAAATCCCTGGTTTCCGATTGTTACTATTTTCTGTAGCCAGGCAACACACAATCAGTGCTCTGTGTACACATTAACGCCAGTGATTGTGAATGGTCATGTGATATGCTTTTTCAAGTGTGTTAGTATGGATGGTGTTTGTTATTCATACAGAGCTAAAATACTTGTCCAGACAGTGATTGTTTTAGTTTTAAAACGCTATTTAAAATGAAAATACGGATGTTGGCCTAATAGGCAGATTCTTGTTTAATTTGCCAGGGTGTAATGTTTGAATTTGAATGACCCCTATGGCTTTTACTTTAGCATGTTCCCCCTGGAAAAACTTCCTTAACTGAAAAGGCATCCGCAGTTTATAGTTTTTGCAGTGATAGGGTTATTGAACAATGCAGGCACCAATGGACCTCTTGGCCCGGTCTTGTTACTTTTATTACTCGACCTATGGGGCTTGTTATTTTGGTGGCAGTTGAACATCTTATTTATGTTGTATGTTTTCAGTAGTTTTTATATTCCAGAAAGTGTTCTGCACGATATTCTGTAATAAAAACACATTTATACCCAAGGATATGTCCCCATCAAATGTCTGGCTCCTCTCATTTCAAAACGATAAAGTAGTTTGTCAGAGCAGCACACCATCCACAGGCCCATTTACTGTACCAGTGTGAGAGAGGAGCTTGAAAGATCTGCTATTTAGGTCAGACACTGAACCTTCTTCAAAACAGAGAGACAAATTTGTTCATAACAGGGTATGACAAAGCCCTGCTCATGTCCTGGAGTCGTGCTCTATAGTGGCGTCCCCGCCTGGTCATGGCCATTCCAGAAAAGCCTTTGAAGGGCCTTTTCATTTCCTGTCTGTCTGTCACAGGGGGACTTAAAGTGCAACTAGCAAACTCATTGTCATGCCACTCAGCCTCCAGCCAAAAGGGACAGTTGTACTTTTGGTGTATTAAAGCATTCTTGGGATAGAGACAATGAGGTCATTGAATTGATGTCATGGTTTTTTTGGCTAAAGTAAATAATCATTGAAGTAGAGTGTTTTATTGAATCCTGCTGACCATTCCTTTTTCACATCACACACATCAGACTACAGCTGAGATACAGATTTGACTGTCTTGTAGTATTAGTGTCTCTGAGCATAATTTTCTTGATCTTAGTGCAGATGTAGGAGGTGATGGTCTTTGTCATTTTCCAAGTCATCTAATTTCCATTTTGTGTAATGCAGCTTCTGTAATACATAAATAGTATGTTGATGTAGCAATACACTAAATGTCTAGGTTAATGTAGCTTCTTATTGCCCTAATTTTGCTCTAACTAGTATCTCTTTTATGTTTTCAGGATGTTCACCATGGAAACGGCACCCAGCAGGCCTTCTACAGTGACCCTAGCATCCTTTACCTTTCACTGCATCGCTATGACGACGGAAACTTCTTCCCTGGCAGCGGAGCACCTGATGAGGTGAGAAGGAGGGCCTTCTTTCTGCTTGTCTGACCACATGATTGTCTGAATTTAATCATTACAAATCTCTGTGTGTTTCTGCTTTTTAGGTGGGCACTGAAGCAGGTGTAGGCTTCAATGTGAACATGGCCTTTACTGGGGGACTGGAACCTCCCATGGGTGATGCAGAGTATCTAGCTGCCTTCAGGTAAGACAATAGTGTGAACTGCTGCTTTATAGAGAATTCTGGTAATGGATGGTCATACTGGTGATGTAGCTCCTTATTGCTGAAGTAGCAATAATGCAGAGTTCATGCTACATGACTTTCAAAGTTGTCGAATTGCTGCACAGGTCCCACTACACAATTCATTGTCACATAATCAGGAGTCTTGCAGTTGTGAGTACACACTACACAACTGACCGACGACAGGGGGTCACACGCCACACTTTCTTTCACCAGGAGAAACCATACGTCGGATTTCTAAACTACATTCGATCATGAAAACATGTGAGAAGAGACACAGTGAGTCCGGGTTAAAGGTGAACTATGAGTGTATTGGAGGGAAAATCAGACACGCTCTAATTCTTTCCTTCGTGCTCTTTGACTCTGTCAAATGACTTATCAGAAGCTTCTGAGAAGGTGGAGAGTTCCCCCTCACCACACCTGATTTCTATTACGTCCACTGTCTGATGCTATTTATAACCTCCCGCGCACACACACACACACAACCTCAAACATGCACACACACGCACAGCTTGAGAGGTCTACAGGAGTCCAGGCTTGGATTCACCACAGACATGTACATGTCTCTTATACATTGCTGCTTCGTACAGCTGGATACAAGGAGCAGGTCTGGATTGGTTCCAGCGCTCTTTGAAGATGAACTTGTTTTAGTGACGTCCATCTGGCCTGAGCCAGAAACTGGCCACTGTCTTCTCACAGCTTTCTGCACGCAACCTCCCGGAAACACACCTTAGCCCGTTAATGTGCCCCAGGCCCCTGAGTGCTCTCCTTCTTTCCCTCTCTACTTCTTATTCTTTCATCCCCCTCCTCATCCTCCCTCTCTTCCCGTCTGTCTGCATGTGCACTGATGACACCCAGTTAATATATTTCATACCATAGACATTATATATGATCCATCACTGAAGCCTATAGCTAGTGCAGCATGCCTCATGGTACACTATTTTTTAACATCATTTTTTCTGCGACTACTTTCCTATTCACTTAACTGATAATAAACAAAGAATATTATTATTCATATTTAATAGATACCACTGACCAGTATTAAGTACTGTATATAAAATCCAGTGAAGTACGTAAACACCTTTAAATTAGTTCTTGGAGATCTTCCAACAATCAGTGCTTAATCTGTAATGCACTTTTAGCATTAAAAAATCTGGAACCACTCTTTTGTTCAGTTTTGTGATGTGTATGTTTGTTCAAGAGTGCACGCCTGCATCTGACCAAAGATGCATGTGATGAGGCCTGTGCTGCGGCTGCAGTGTGTTCTGTTTATGTAATTGTAGGTTATTAAATCAGTGTTCTTTGCATTATGGAAGAGGTCCAAAAATGTAAAGTGAAGGAAAGCAACAGTTTGGGTGTGTGTTGTTTCAGAACCTGGCGTCATTACTCCTTCAAGGCTGATGTCTCGTAGCTCATATATTTGCTACTAACACACACACATGCGATTAGCATGCCTATTCACATGTAGATGCAGGTGTATACTGTGTGTATATATATATTATATTATGTATAAATGCACATTCTAAATACAAGCTCATAGAAATACAAAAGGAACTGGCTCAGATTCATACAAGGGTGTATGAGTGCTTATACATGTCAAACCTCATGCAGACAGACATGTGGACAGACACTTGATACACAAATCCCCCTCCCTCTATCTCTCTCTCTCTTTCAATCTTATTGTTCATCTGTATGTCGTGGTCCTCTCCTTCCTCCCTCTCAGTCTTTTGGAGGGGATGCGTGCCTTGCAGCCAGTACCTTACCATTCCTCCATTGGCCTGTGCCACGTTGCATTTGCAGGGGATCAAGTCTGAGCCTCCAGAAAGCACAGAGAAAAAGATAAGAAAATTGGCTCTAATGAAAACCAGAAGCACAGTCCCTCTCTCCCTCTCTGTCCTTCTCTCTCTCTCCCTCTCTCCTTCTCTCCCTCTCTCCCTCTCACCTCCTCCTTTCTCTCCATCTTTTGCCATGAACTTGGAAAGACGAGAGAGGAGGAGAATTAAACTTAATTCAAACCAGCTCTCTGCAGCGCCAGATGACAGGGCTTTGAAGTGTAAGTGTGCGTGTGTGAGTTTTAGCTCTCTTATTTTCTCTCTCTCTCTCTTTCCCTCCCTCCCTCCCTCCCCGCTCTCTACTTTTTTATGAACGGAGGGGGAAATCCTTGAAGCGCTGCAGATTAACCTTTTGTTGAATGGTTTGATGAGCGCTGCTCCCTCTAAAGGACAACATCTGTATGTTCTTCTCAAATAGCCTTTCACTGAGTGGGAATCTTTCCAGTGTTGTTGACCAACATTCTTTTGGTTTGGACAAGCACTGGCAGTTTGTATCAAAACACAAAGACCATCATGTGAAAAACCCCAAGTACATAGATCCTCAAGAAGTTTTTCTTGACTCAAAAATGTATCTGTATAGAACACTGCTCAAGTAACCTGCGTGATTATAATTCTATTGCACCTGAGACAAACCCTTTAAAAAATCAATTGCACTCATCCAGATTAGTTTTTAATGCAGACAGGAGGAAAAGGCTGTCTTGAAGTGGAGTCTAATGATTTGAGTGTTCTATAGAATACAGTAAATGTTAATAACGTTTGAGTGTTTGTCCCTGTAGAGGCAAAGATGGCGGCAGTGAGAATGACATTACTGCTGCATAATGGCTAAAACAGTAACCCTTCCAAAATGTAATTTCAACACAAGAATGGCACTCAGTTCAGCACATACCACCACTAAAGCCCCACAGTCCCCTTTAATTAAATCAAGCTGCACTAGATTGTACACACTCACAGATACCAGTCCCATAAATATGCCTGATTTATTAAATCAAGATCCATGAATTGTTCCCTGGGATATTGAAAATAACAACATCCTATCTCCCGATGTAAAAAAAAAAGAAAAAAAGAAGTGATTTCAAAGAAAATCCTGGATTTGCCCTTTTTTCAGATCTGCCTGAACATTTAATTGGTGTTGTCTTGTCCCATTTCCTATCCTTCCACAAAATTCCATGTAGTTTGTGCGTAATCCTATGCAAACAAACAGGCAGGGTTGAAAACATGACTTCTTGGCAGAGGTAATAAATGCATTGACGCAAAATTTCCCACACTGCTGTATAAAACAAGTGACACACATGAGTTAGCACTAAATCATCTGCTCTCTCAAGTAGGTTCCAAGGAATATGTCATCTCCTGATGACTCTTGTTTGATGCAGCTTCAGCATAAATTCCTGTTATTTTGATTATTGTCCATTATCACAGTCAACTTCAAATTCTGATCATAACAATCTACTACACAACCATTGATAAAGACTTGAGCTGGAGCTGGAGGAGCTTTCTTAAGTCTGAGACAATAACCCAGGTGATGTCATCAGGGGAGATGGGAAGTGTAATGGTAAATGGTCTGTATTAATAATGTTATTACCACCTAAAGCACCTTACAGTCAGCAATCACAGACAATCTGGTTAGTGGATTATCCGCTCTCCTGCCTGAGCCACAGCTGCCATGTGTAGAAACTGGTGTATTTGTAGCTTTACCACTGCTGTATTCATTTTGACTATGCGTCTTTCTCTTACAAGTCCCCCAATCTAATAAACAGCAATACACAACATACACACACACACTCTCTCCCATCCATTCATTTGCAGACACTTGCACACCTGTTGCTAGGTAAACCAAACAATACCAAACAAAAGTTTACACCGCATGCTTATCCAAGTAGTTTACAGCAACATTTAGCCAACCTCTTCGCTCAGGATGTCCCACAGCTCGCGGCTTAGTCATAAACTCTCCCCTCCCTTGATTAGGAAAAAGCTCTTTTCATCTCCACATTCATAGCCTCTGATTCACACCCAATTAGTCTCCCTCAAAGCCACTACCTTCCCTTTAAGCCAGTTTGCTAATTGATAACTGTGGCTTTTTTTATTTCATTAAATGTCAGGATATTTTTAAAGTAGGGGTGAGGGCTGGAACTGATGACACCAGCAGTTTTCATCACTGTGACCAGAACTGTCCCTGTTTGTGTTCATGGTTGGAGGAAGGGGGCGCGGCGGAGCCTCCAGTGGTTTTAAGTATCCTTGGCAGTCAAGGTTTCCCTCTGCGTCGTGTGCCGGCCCACATAAGCGCCTGTGGCCAACTCCCTTTAGTGTGGGGTCTTTTATGGCCCAAATGTTAATGGGCCAAGGCTGTGTGTGTGGATGTAAGTTAGTGAGTAGTTGGAGAATGAGGGAGAAAAGGTTTTAACAAATGAGATCAAATCTAACCTAAACAGAGTAGTTGTAAATTTTTTATAGAATTGTTTGGTTGCCTTCACATGAATAGACTTGTGTTGTTGACTGCTGTCTGCATGAAATGATGGAACAATGACACATTTACGCTGATTTGTTTTATTTTATCCACATTTCATTTATGTGTTTACTCACTCAGTTTTAGTCCTTGTTCTCTTTCTAGACTCTTTCTCTCTGTATCTCTATTTTTCTTCTTCATCCTTTTTGCATGACGTTATCTTCTGAATCGTTGCCAGATGCATGCAAACACACAGTGACGCACGCACTCCGTGTATCCTAGCTGTCTAGTACTTCCAGAGAGCTCCTATTACTACCTCCTGCCTCTCCCTCAGACAGCTGTGTGTACGTATGAGTGTTGTGTTGTGGCATGGGGGGGCGTGGCGTGCACAGTTAAGGGTTATAATTTGGTGGTGAACGAGAGCTGGAAAAAACGGTGGCCTCCGGAGTTCAGGGCACGCCGCTCACCCACAGCCGGCAAACCAGCACCGTGTTCCTGAGGTCTACAAAGTACAGGGGACCTACGACGGAACCCTGCGGTACTTTGTCACTCATAAACCTCACCAAAACACAACTTGCCCAAATATCCAAGATCCCCCCCAAAAAATTCCTGTGTCGAACCTGCAATCCCACAGCGCAATCAGAGAGAGGCTCTTGTTTTGCCATCTGGGAAGTCCAACTATTTATGAACCAAGTGAGACATCCTAAATCATTATCCTTTTATTCAAAGTCATTAAGCCATTAGATTGTTGACCTTACTATGATAGTCTAGATGATTCAGTGATTCATTATAAAGGATTCCTAATTCATAAAACCATTGTATTCCAGCTCTTAAAATTAAAATGAAACTGATACATTAAAACATCTAATTGTATGTGATCTAATCTCATCTCCCTGTGTAAAACTGTCTCAGTATTAAACATGTATATGCTGTACGGTGCTTTTTTCATTTTTATAAACAGCGTCACCATATAAACCAGACTGGATTTTCCAGCCACAACTTGCAGTGAATCACTACACCGTATCCCACTGTTGATATGATTTCTGTGTATGACACATTGCAGCTGTGTGTCAGATGAAGGTCGTGCACAAACATCTTTCACTCACCACACCCATCCAGTGTTAGAAATATCCTACATACTTAGCACACACATGCAGTTTTGTTTGTCCTTCCGTTTCTCCTTTTTACTGAAGCATCTTTTAGTGTATTACTTCCTACGCAATTTCAAACTGTCCACTTCAAAAAGTGTCCCCACACACATACTGTAATTACAAACTAATGGGGTAAAAGTTTGCTTTGAAGACCATGAAATGGAGAGGAAAGCTGTAAAATGACACAAAGCATTTCCAGCCAGGTATTGCATATGCTGCAGTGATCAGGACAGTAAGTAGTGTTTAGTAACACTAAAGGCCATAAAGCTATATCAACAGTGTTATCCCATATTGCACTTATCTTCTTTTAGGCCTCAGAGGTCACAGAGTTCTCTCTGCATAAACTTGTCTACAGCAAGTTGATCACTCTTCTCAGTTAATATAACCCCCAACTTTAGGCCTGAGGTGTTTATTACCCTTGTTATTTCATCAGCGTTTGTTTGTTAGTTTGTTGGCAGGATTACATGAAAACTTCTCAAACGACTTGCACAAATCTTTTTAGTGTTGGGGTGAAATAGGGTGTTAGCATTGGCAGATGTATGTGCTCTCTAAATGCCCTTACTGTTTTATTGTTGGCTGAGAAGAAACAAGGTGTAAATTATTTTTTTATTATATATATATATATATATATATATATATATATATTATATATATTATATCTTTGTCAGTGGCTCAGTTCTGATACGTCTTTTATGTTAAGCTGTGATTTCCACATTTTTTGTAACAGTAACATACACACACACACACAGAAATGTGGCAGCAGGAAAAATAAACTGTTTATATTCTCATAAAATGAAAAAAATACGTTTTTGAAATTTCATGATACTAATTTTGAAAACTTGGCTCATCAGTCTTAGGGTTTTTTTATTGCACAGTGGAGTGCATACTTTATTACATAGGTATATATATATAGTATGTTTGTTGGAGTAATTTATGTTTAATTGCTGCATTGTTGCTCAGTAATACTCTCCTTGACCCAGCCTATTAAATGGATGTAACACTTCAGAATACATTGGGGTCCAAAGACAGAGACCACACTCCCAAGAGAACAGAAAGTGGTCTCTCTGTATCTGTTCACGTTTTACTATTTGATAGGTTTGCTGTAGAAGGATGTGTCTCAAGAGGGCTGCCCTAGAAGCTAGCAGGGAGACTGCCCCCCCAGCGTGCGTGACAACATTTAGCCTCACTAAACTTTCTTTGCTCTTAGTGGTTTTGAGCTAGACTCTGAATGTTCAAAGTACCTCTGCATATGGAAGGCAGCAAGCCAAAAACCAAATGCATCACTCTTAGTGTCCCGTATAAAGCCACAGGTCTCAGTCACAGATAGGAGGCTTACACGACTTAAGAAAATTTACCCCCCTCTCCTTCACAGCCTTCACCATAAATACACCAGTTTGTTGACGTTATTTTTTCCTGTTGGTTATTCTAGGACGGTGGTTATGCCTATTGCCAATGAGTTTGCCCCAGACGTGGTTCTGGTATCTTCAGGCTTTGATGCGGTGGACGGACATGCTCCACCCCTGGGAGGATACAAACTGACAGCCAAATGTAAGTGCTGACCACAGCTATCCACCTAATTACTCCTGTGTTTTCTAAACCATTCAATGTCTTGTAGAGAGAAACATTTGAGGCTGTTTCATATTCAAGAACTTGATAATGCATGCACATTTGAATTAATTCCCTCTATATCTGGCATATGACACCCAAGCTGTATATTCAATCCACAGATGTGCACACACCTTGCGTTTATTTTGTGCATCTGACTTGTGTATTCAGTTCGAGACCTTGGTGTGCCAGGAAAGCACTTTTCTAGAACCATCCTGCAGATCTCAAATAAAAGCAGGAGTCTTGGTCGTGAAGGAAGTTATATGGGTGGTTTAGAGAGGATCGTAGGAAGAGGGGATGGGGTAGAATTCAGGGGAGAAGGATTGAATGCACATATTCAAACTCCCCCTCCTCCAGAAAAACAAAGATGAAAGGCTGTGAGCAGGCCTAAGCCCAAAGCCGTATTTATTAAAATTAAACCAGGCTTGTTTTTTGGCCTCTAGTAAATCCAGTGTGCTCTCTTTCTCTCCCCCTCTCTCTGATGCAGTCACCCCTTTCTTCATGCACGCTCAAACCCCAATTTTTTGGCTTTTTTTCTTTGATCGATATCCAAAAAGGAAGTTGGAGCTTGAAGGGTAGTGTTCTCTCTTCTCATTCTTTTTGTCCTGCCCTGTCTCCCCGTGTCCGTCCCCCCCCCCCCACCTTCCTCTCTTTCTTACCTTTTTCTTTTCTGCCATTTCCTGTGTGTCCAGGTTTTGGCTACCTGACCAGGCAGCTGATGGGTCTGGCAGGCGGTCGGTTGGTGCTTGCCCTGGAGGGGGGTCACGACCTCACAGCCATATGTGATGCCTCCGAAGCCTGCGTCTCTGCTCTGCTTGGCAATGAGGTAAGATGAGAGCCAGGAGGAAAAGGGATAAATTACCGTCAAAACGTCCTCACACATTACTCTCAAAATAACCGCCAGCGAAGTACCCAGATTCAGAAGATACATGGGGAGTTGTGGATTAAATCTGCGTAGCATACACTTTAAATTGCTCGTAAAAAGAATATAATCTGGTTGGACCTAAGAGCATTACCATGAAAAGAAAATCCTTTTTATTTATATTAAATCTAGGCAAATGTCATGTAAAGGCAAGTATGTTGATGACTCTGTTAATTGGATGTGGACCTTTAGTTAAAGCCACATGAGTCACTTTTGTGTTAATCCCATATCATGTGACCGCTCTCGTACACTGGGCTTGTGCTTGCCAGTGTCAACAGGAATAGTCCAAATAAATGCTCATCTTCTAAGCATGTAAGCAGTTGTATCACTGTAAAATGCAGAATTTAACTGAGCAGCTGTTAGTGAAGACAACAGGTTCAGCAACGCATTTGATTGATTATTCATGTTGCGTTCCACACTGGGAGCCAAGGCTAATGCCGGTTGTTTTCTTATGGAAGGGGGCCTGGTGATGTAAGCTTGATGAATCAGCGAAGGCTACATCGCAACTGAAAAGATCCGATCGGCAAGTGTCTGCGTCTACGTCATAGCTTCTAAACATGCCCTGAGTTTTCAGAATAAAACTGCACCAGCAGCATTTCCAAACTTCTCCAATTGTAGCACCTCTTAAACTCAGAGTAGTGTGGACGCCAGCTGTATCTGTAGCAGGACTGATGCATTTTCAAATGAATATGTGGTAATATTGATGTAAGCTCAGAATACGTGTGTTCCTGCTAGTTACTTTAAAAAATGACCATATTGCACATAAGTGAAGATACATTTATAATGATAAAAGTTTTCTGATTTCTTCATCTTCTGGAGCCAGAAAACGTCACCTCTTTCCTTTACATTGTATATGCCAGGCTACTTTGACATTTGCATGGGTGACTCACACCAACAGTGGTGGCAGAATGGCACAGACTGTTACACAGCTACATACAGAGAAGGGTTGTATACTTCCTCCAACAACAGCACTTTTTTATCTGAGCCAAAACCACCTTGTCTAATGTTCTCTTGCACGGCCTCTGTCTGGGAAGTCAACACCACACACACGCTCTATTACGTCAGAGCAAGAGGATTTCCAGGCAGAAGGTTAATTGTGGGAGTGTGTAGGTTGGGCTGTGGAATTGAACAAACATTGGCTCTCTGTGATTCATGGCGCACAACAGAAGAGCTGCTCATCACCGCTGCCCACTCCTTTCTTCCAGCTAATGAGGAAGCTGGAGTGCCTTTTTGAATGGATTCTCTCAGTCTTGTTTTCTCCTCACATCCAAGATATACCAGGGTTTTACTGTTAAAGGACTAATTTGTGGTGCAGGATGGAGATGATAGTTTCAGGGGAGAAAAGAGAAGATGGTGTGACTGGTTGTTTGTGTAAGATCATTTGCTGACTTCAAGTACACCTGTTGATCTTTTAGAACTAGTGACATGTGTGTAGATATTAAATGTCCAGGGTGCGTCTGGAGCTGACTTAGCCAGCTTTTTCACGTCTACTATCAGAGTGTTTCTGTAATATCTACTATGAATGGGGTTAAGCTTTCTTGTATGCAGTAGTGACATGGTTGTTTGGTACCTTACTTTGAACACTTGAAGGTATATTTTCGTGAGTGCATTTTTTGTTTGTTTGGGAGATGCCTTGTTTGGTGTCATTCATTTGCATGTCATTAATAGATTCCAAACCTATATCCTGTCAATCCAAGCTTTCACATAAGTGACAGAATTTCACTGAAAAATATTTTATAATTGTGGCTTTTATTTTTTCAGACCAAAGTCAATTGTTTTCTAACCTAACAAAGCAGTCAGGCCAAGCGGCCAGATGAAGCTGCTAATAACTCGTAAGGTCAACACAGGCTCTCCTACTCTAGATATGAGCGTGTGCACATTAAAGGGGCGTCGTTTACTGCATATGACCAATCGCAGAGAAGGATAAAATTATAAAACTATGTCTGGTTATCCTGCTGCACACACACCCAGTTCGTCAATATCAGTAACACCACAAGTGAAGAAACGTAGGACGATGACAGCCTGTGGTACTGTGAGCACATTGCTCCTAAGTGTCAGGCAGGTTATGTTCGGCTCCAGCAGCTGACAAAGGTTGATCGTTCCCTCCAATGAGAATCAATATATTTCATCAGAGCAGGCAAAAGGATTTTGTCGTTCTCTGGAGACCCTTGTCCTCCTCAGAGACCCTCTAACAATCTGCACACCAAGCTCCAAGGGATCCTCTAAGGGAATGTCATGTTTCAGAGGAATTGATTGGTCAGTGGGCGGTGCTTTTATACTGCTTGATCTCTTATCTCAAATGTTACCATGGTGATTTAGCCAATAAGAAGTGAACAAGCTTCATACGACTGAAAAGTCCGAACTGAACCTGAGGTTACCCCTTAAAAACGCAAATCCTGCTTCATAGTACAGGCCGCTGTACCTGCTAAAGCCATTATCCTCTGCACACGAAGACACTGAACAGTTCTACTGATGCATATGGTCCTGCAGATCTGATAAGGCATCTACAATACCTAAGAGTGCATTCTATATGACACAAGTGGTCTGAATGCATATGTATCATAATGTGGTTTAACAGTGTAATGGTCTAATGAAAAGCAAAATGCACAACATCGTTCTTGTCATGGTCAATGCTCGTAAGGCATTTTACGTAAATGCTAAAGTAAGCATTCCCACTTTAATTAACAAATATTAAATAAGATCATTTCTGTGGCCAACATTACTTTCAAATATGAATAAATATTTTTTCAGTCATAACATGAATTAATTGATTAGATACATACTTAAAGTGTTAATATCTGAATCTGTATCTGCCTTATTGAAGATTGTATCTGTGCATCCCCCGGGTCTTTTGTTCCAGCCCCTCCAGACAGCTTGAGCTATAAATGAGTTCTTGGAATCGTAAAAAAAACCCACATGGCCCTTTTCCATGTGGATCTTGGAGCAAGAGCAAAACAAACTGAACAATAAAATAAGATTGCATCAGTAAAACTTGGTCACTGCAACCAACCAGGCACTGACCACCACAGACAGTTGAACCAGCTTAGTTCACCTACTACATGGAACATGCTGCAAAGTTATTAACCCCCAGTTTTTTCTGCTATGTGCCAAATCTGTCAAAGAAACCAGGAACAGCTCTGCTAATCTGATCAAGGTTTGCATGAGAGAAGAACTGCACAAACTAGAGATTTTATCTAATAAGTTAACTCTATTTACCTGAACTTTGCCCACCAATGACTCAAAGCTGCATAAAACTGTCATTTCAGCTAGTAAGGTTTCAGGAATTCAAGGACATCTCAGCAGGGCGGATGCCTTTTCCTCTCACAGAGGTTTGGACTCGCAGTTTGAAGGACACTCTCCATGCACACAACAACGCCCTGCTGCAGAAATAATGATTCAGATCAGGGGGTTTGCTTCTTAGGTTTCAGCAGCCTGCAGAGCCACAGCCTCAGCAGGGGTTTGGAGGGAGGTCACTGGATGGGTGCCACAGGGAGCTGAAAATTCGAAAGTCGGCAGGAGGCGGGGAGCGTCAATTGCCCTGGCTCTGCAGGACACGCCTCTCACCTTCTCACATGGGGCCCTGTCTCTGGTACACATCTGAAAATGGTTGCCCTCACACCTCTATCAGCAGGGTCAGCCTGGGTCTACAGATCAGTTTATAAAGGGAATAATTCAAGGAGGCAATGCATCTATAATGCATCTGTATGTATGTGGGTCTTCATTGTCTAAACCCATATTAGATTAATTTTTATCGTGTTTTGCTGAAATCCATAGTTTTATATTGTATTGAGGGACTATTTTTCCTGATTAGAATTAAAATGTCTAGAATGCAACATACCTCAAGTAAAGCTTAAATGTTTTAGCTTTGTGGGGAACCTTAGATTAGAAAGCTTTGATGATTTATAGCAAAGAGAAAAAAAAGGCCCTGATCAGATCAAAATGGCAGGAAGCTAGTGTTTTTACCCTAATCCTAGCGAAGGTCTGTGTAATGGACGTGGAATTTCGCTGGAAAATGTCAGTGGGGGCTTGAGCCTGAGGGAGAGAAAAAAGCCTGGTGTTTTCTTTTTTTTCTCATCTGCTGACAAACTCAGCCTCAGATGGCAAATATTAAGAAATCTGAGGGCAAGACTTTAAATTTTTGTGTGCATGTGTTGGCAGGGGTGTGAATGGATCGAATGAATAGGCTCAGGCATGGGACCACAGCCGGATTAGCCAGTCAGCTGTGCTTTTGTTTATGAAGCTTCAAACTTGCCTGTGGGTTTGTATTGTCCGGATGTGTCCAGAATCCAAGACGTCACCGTAAAATAAATCTCTAATCTTACTGTAGCATATAACCCTAATTCTATGTATAGAATGGTACAGTATATGCCTGTGTGTGTGTGCAGTGCGTGCAGTGCGCAAGACAGAGGAGTCAGGAGGGGTTGAATTAATTTCTTGCAGTTGTGCTGTGAAGTAAGATTTTACCAATTTAAGAAAAGCATCAATCATCATGATACTGTGTTTGTGGCCACAAACAAATCAACATAGGAGCACTAAAAAGCATAAAATATGTTTGATTCCTAATGAAGGTCTAGCATGTCAGAAGACGTCAGCTGAGACAGTCCTTCAATGCTGCCCAGGACACATTTTCAATCACACAGCTGTAAAATGTGGCCAGATGCGTCCCAGACCCCCCCTAATGTGTTGTTTTTTTAAATTGGATCTCAGGATATGGATGAATATGGGTGCATTCAGACTTGTACTTGGCGCTGACCACTTGTGATCACTCAGGGTGAATGTTGATACAAGTCTGAATGGGGTCTCACAGATGAGATGGTTATTGAGGAGTTTGAAAATCAAAGGTACACAATGTCAGCAAAGCAATAAGGAGCAATATAAATGATTAAGAAACCACCAATATCTCCCTTTGGTTGTTGTTTGGGCAGAGCTTTTATTGTATGGCCGTCTTTAAAAGGCAGATTTTGGCAGCCTCCACACCAGAGCCAAAACATCCTCAAAGCGTTCCTCATATCCTCTCACCTCCTGTGTAGCTTATACTTCCAGTGTTTTACTGCTTGCTAGTGTGAGAAATATATCTGAGCTTTTATTGGCAGGTTAAGACGAGCTTTGCCATAATGAGCGTTAGGTTTCCTTTGAAAACAGCTCAAATTAGCTGGGAAAGAGGGGAGATGAAAATTGTTGAATGGACTTTACAGGCTCTTTTATTCGCCCTCACCACTGTAGTGCGTAATCGTGAAGTCTCTCTACTTAAATAGCTCATGAATGATGCATTGGCGACTCCTCCAGTCAACTCTGAACCTAGGACTAATTGATGATTGCTCGCAAACAGATGTTGGCCCAGCTTGAACTGTGGTTGTTACCAATTATTTGATAAACAACAGGCTAATATGCTAATTGTTACCATATGTCAACAAGGTTATTCAGCGTGTTTACACTCCAGTTACAGTACGACGCTCGACTTCACCTGTCCCCCCCTTGGGTCTGACTGTTCCCCACCACCCCCTGACTACAAGGCAAATTATGCCCCCCTTTCCAAATAGGTCACCTGCTTTGCACAACGCACGTCATTACCTTGTTCAGTTAGCATAACATAATCAACCGGTTTTACTGACCGGCAACATATGCACATGGGCACAACAGTAAACAATGGACAGCTTGTGCACTTTTCTTTTGCTGAACAAGTGGAATTCCTCCTCTTTCCACTGTTTTGGTTTCAGCCTCCCTCAGGAATGTTTTTACCGGGGCACATTCCTCAATCTCAGCTCATGGCTTTCCATGGTGTCTCAGCTTTGCTGGCTCGGATCCTGTGCGCTGGGCGGCTGTGTCACACAAAGAAAATAGACTTCCTCAGAAATCTGTCAACACCATGACAGCAAATCACCCTCAGAGGACATTTCTCTTTCAAAGTCCACTGCACATCTCATGGTATGAAGATGCAGAAGTCCAGGCACAACCATGACCAGAATCTCAGCCAACAGAAATATTGCTGTGGATGAAATGGCAGACAAAAATATGCTTGTGTATAGTGCACATGCATGTGTGTGTGTGCATATGTGTGTTTGCACTACCTGCCAGGTGGAGGCCCCTGAAGTATCTTGACAAGAGCCATTAAAGTTTATAAGCGTGAGGCCCAACTGTCAATCAAGCTGACAGAGTGCCCCCATCCAGCCCTGCTCAGAAGTAAACCCCATGGAAACCCCAGAGAACCCCTGACCTTGCTCTGACAGGGAGCCGGGTGAGTATGGGCCGAGAAAAGCCGGGCTGGAACTAGCTTTATGTATATGGTGAGAAGTTGGCAGCTGTTTTTTGATAGTTGTTGAATATCACATTACTTGAAATTATTTGGCGAGTCTTGTTGTGGTAAATCCTCTTAAAAGTTACAACAAGAATTTTCACTTTGTCGGCCAACTTTCCTCTCTTTGTTAATACAATAGCAGTTGAGAGCTTACTTTGTATCATAAGGCTGTAACAGTTGGATAAAATAAGATCTGCTCTGAGTGATTACATGGATAAACTGTTGGAGGTTGATGTGCAGTCATAAAACAAAATCCACAGGTTGCATTTCATTTGTTTCGAGCCAAAGATGCAATTAACCTTACTCTGCTGTTGGACGCTTAAATATCCCAACGTAAATATTCATGCACAAACTGTGTGTGTGTGTGTGATGTAGCCTGTCGTGCCACAGCAGGATTAAAGTATCCCTCTCCCCAGACTGCCTCTCAGCCCCCACAAGCCCCTCCCACATGCTATTTGTTTTAATTAAAAGAAAACTTCCAGCCTCGGCCGAGCGAGACCGACTGACGATGTCTTTTTTCTCTTCTTTCTGGTATTCAACTCCAACATCTCCGGCCAGACCCTTTTTTTCCTCTTTTACTTCGATGTCTCTCTTTATATGTTTTTCAGTTGGTCCTTTATTCCACTGGGGTGGTGATGGAGCAGTTAAAGGATGTATGCCGTCTGTGTTGGAATGTCGAGCTGAATGGGCCCATTTGACAAAATGGGATGAGAAAGTGTCGTACACGCAGTCTGCCAAAGGGGAAATTGAATCATTCCGGGTTGGGAAGGCACATTTGGGAATGGTCCTGCTTTCTCTTCTGAATTGTGGCTTGGAGAGTTTCATAGACTTATAAGTGCTCCCTGAGGTGTGTGTGCACGAGTGTGTGCATGAGAGTGCATACATGCATTTGTGTGAGCAGGCAGTTTCCATTTGTGTGCATCTGTGTACACTAGTATGTGTCCTCAGAGTGGGACACAGTACAAAGCTCGCATTGTAGTTTGTGTCAAAGAGTAGCAAAGCTGTGGGTGAGTGGGAGGAGGCATGCACCTGCAGGACCATTTTCTATTGTGTCAGCAGCTCCAGTCCGTTCCCCACCTCTTGGAGTGATTCAACTCTGGGCTGTCGTCCACATTCACAAGTGATCCTTTAAACCAGGAGGGAACCGCATTAGTTCAACTGGGGTTTCCACAGGGTTTTTGGAGCAGTGTTCCGAACACCTGTGTGTCACATTCATAAAAATACATATTCAGACGTACCTACTACATCTCAGAAATGGCTCCAGATGTTTCAGCTGAAGTTCCCAATTGGTATAGTGCCATTAGCGTTAGAGTTGTCTGCCCTGCAGCAGTTACATTACAGAGCAAGTATCCTATAAACAATCTCAAAGACATGAACACTGGGAGGACATAATGCTGTCGCTGTACGATGTGGAAGTTGGACTTTCTTTTTTTGTTTCTTGTTGCAGTTGGACCCCATTCCAGATGAGGTGCTTCAGCAGAGACCAAATGCCAATGCTGTCCAGTCTATGGAGAAGGTTATTGAAGTTCAAAGTGAGTCGATAATCACCGTGTAGATGTGCACCAGCAACTGTATCTCTTAATATCATTCTACATCACGTATATAAGAATTGGAAACAATAGTTGGTTGATTTTAAAATGAATCCGTTATATTGAGTCTCCATCTAGTCCTTGCATATTAGTCCTCATGACGTCAAACATCAGATATCCACACACTCAGTCTGCACACATAAATGACCCTGTGTGTCCACAGTGTTCTCATTGCTCTTTTGCCATGTCCTGGTATTCTGTAGGTAAATACTGGCGCTCACTGCAACGCTCCGCCTCCACACTTGGTTGCTCATTGAGCGAAGTCCTCCAGCGTGACGCAGAGGAAGCAGAGACCGTCTCTGCCATGGCCTCGTTGTCTGTTGCCAACAAACATATTGGAAAGAGGTGTGTTGTGCTGCGGTTACAATTCATATGACGTGTGTAAATAGAAAGATGTGCAGTTATGGAGACACAGATAATTAGCACCTAACTAGTTCCTTTAAGCTCAGTGTTTGGTTTGATGGTCTGTAGGCTTCAGTCTCTCATCAGTCCAGCTGCAGTAGGCAGGTTGTTTCAGCTATGATAAATAAAATGTACACAACCTGCCAAGTTTAAGGGCACTGTCACAAATTCAGGCCAATGTCACAGGTCAATGTTCTTCAAAATTGAACCCCAGCTGAAGCCAAGCTGCTGGATTTGCTTCGCCACTGGAAACAAATGTTTTATACGCCCCTTAGCTTGGACAGATTAGAAGTTAATGGGTGGCAAAGATTTGCCATTGCTACTTTAACCGCTGTGTGACCTTGACCATGCCCTAACTCTGCAGGCAGACAAAGCTGCCATCAAGCTGGTTATAAATGGTGGTGGGTTTGTTGTATGTCAACCCCTCACAATAATTACAACATAATGACTCACTAAACTTGACATGTTCCATGTGTTAAGTGTTGGTCTTTAACGACACTAAAACATTTGTATAGTTTCTTAGTACCTTTCTTTGGTGCTGTGGTTCCTCCATTGTTTATATACAATTCAGTGGTTTATATCAGCATGCACAGTGTTTAAGTATGCAGTCATTTAACTGAAAAGCAGACATGCACTTTACTCTAAACATTTTCCATACATTTTCTGGTTGGCTGTATGTGAGAATGCAAATGTCAGAGTCAGTTGCTCATGACATTTTTCTGAACCATTACTGCAAGCTGTCTGAGTAAACCCATGTGAGAATACAGAAGGAAAATGCCCAGAAAACTCACTTAAGCCATTTTCAGACATGACCTGCGGGTAGAATCTGGAGAGTTGGCTACGGAGTTTACCCAGAGTTTGCTTTTCACACATAGACAACACAGCGGGAGGTTTTCTGCACAGATGCGTTCGCAATAGCATCAATCTTGTGATTGTATTGACAACACACAGACACTGTGTCAGCTCTTATCACACAAACTTCCTTCACATCTTCGTCATGGTCTTCTACGTGTGTGTCACCGCTTTTTCACCTGCAGATATTTGTTTTCTTTGAGTTTTGTTTATTCATTTTTGCATCTGTTGCACTGTGAATCCAGCATCACAAACACACCGAAAGCCTCTTTACTCTTTGCGTTGACACGTGCACCTCCTCCAGAGAAAACACAGAGTATCTGCGGAGTTCAGTGCATGTCTAAAAGCAGCAATAGAGTGAGTGGGCTTGTTTATGATGTGTTTTAACGTGCAGCTGACGCAAAGAGGTGTCATACACGTAAAAGACGCCGACAACTTGGAATGGAAATGAGATTGAACAGCTTTGTGTGATAAGGGTTCACGCCAGTGTTGATGTGTTGTAAAAAAAACATTTTATTTCTGCAGCGGAATTTAAACGTCATGTCCTGACTCCTGCTTGCTCTACCCAGGCGCCACCCCTCAGCGGAATGCTTTGGACATTTTACCTTGTCTGAATCGGATAATCTCCTTCTGCATTCTTCATATGTTAAAGGCAAACTACGGAAAATGTCTAGAAAATTGGGTCCAGACATTTTTCTGTTTTCCTTTCAGGTTTATATCTTAAAATGGCTTAAAAGAATAATATTACTATCTTGTTTATGGTATTATCTCTTCCCCAGGGCTGAAGAGGAACCGATGGAAGAGGAGGTCCCCATGTAAAGAAGCATCGTTTGCCTTTGACCACTCAGACTTTATCTTTGATAGTGTCCTCATCCAGTCAATTTCAGTTTAAATACCACTCCTGCTCTCACCCCCGCCTGATCAAGATGTCATCTTTTCACGGGAGGGAACAAGCAGAGCGAGTGGCGATTCAAAGGATCAGGAACACTGAGGATGTGCGATGCATTCACTGATCAGCAGCACACAGACTGATCAGAATAAATGTGTCGCATTGTATTGTCAACAACACCTTGGATATTCGAGGATTGACTCAACAATCCTGCAATGACAGCCTTGAGTGCCAGTGCTTTTAAAACACTATACAGACAAACTTTTTCAATGCCAGTCGCAACCATGTACAGACGATCTGCAGTTGTCTGCCTCTCTCTTTATTATTCCGTTTTTTCTGCGCTTTATCGTCATTTTCTCACCTTTGTCGAAAACCACCAGAGCTGATGTGATTGTGATTCTGCACTACGGATGGATCATTCCTGCTCTTTTAAAACATACCCCGACGAAAGGAACGATCGCAATTTTCCGAGGTGGTTGGAGATCTCAGATGAGACATGTCAGCGGGCGTTCTGATTTCAAAAGGATCGACAGTAAAAGACTGTGCACTTGTGCCCTTTAAAGAAGAAAAATCGGGAAAAAAACAACCTGGTGGACTTTCTATTGAACTTAGCCTTAAAAAAGAGGTTAGGGAAAGAACATGCTTCTCCCCAACCCCTCAAACATTTCTCTCCTAAAAAGTAATCCTCTGCCTGCATGTTGTCGGCACATAGAATGGAGGAGCTTGGCATTTTCACCTCTAACTCCCTGCAACCAGCCAACTGTCTGTCCCTGTACCTCCATCTTTCTTTTCCTCCATTTGTATTCTTACTAGAGAAGGTAGTTCCATGCCACAAGTTGGAGTTGGTTCAGTTTAAAAGCAAGTTAAAATTGAGATTAATATTACTCACATAGACAGTTCTCTTCAATCATGTAGCATGCACTGCACTACAGCAACAAGACATCTGAAAACTGAAAAGCTGAACATAGTTCTTATACAATAGTGAAGCCAAAGCATGATGGACTATCACCTCTGTAGAGTCAAATTCATCATCGATGATTTTACTCTTTACGATTTGTCTGTTTAAGACAACTGTGTCTCCATGGTAACGAGGAGCATACCACCTGGGATTTTCCAGAGGGGCGTTCCAAGCTCTCACACACAGCTGGTTTAACGTTTCATGCCGCTTGTTAAGCACATCTGCTCCCCAAATGTCAGGTGCTATATGAGGGCAGGTGTGTGTACATCTGTTCATACACAGTGAAGCACAAGCTGCTCTTTTTAAATATTGAGGTGTAAACACATATTTTTGTAGTTAGTTTTGTGAGGGATGAGGCCATGCATAAACAATATCCCTCATAGCACATGTATTCCAGATTCTCCTCAACATGAATCCTCCACTAGGTTTGTGTTCCATAAGATTTGAAATATAAAGGTTCATACTGTATCAATCCACCTTACAAATCACAATCCTTTGGACTCAGTATAAAGTCCTCATTGTTAAGAAGAGTAAGCTAAAGGTTTGCTTAGATTTTTCCATCATAGTTTGTTCTATCAGTGCACAATTTATGGAAGCTCAGTTCCGCTACTTTGTACAAGAAATCCTGTAAGTCATTATAATGTAAATTTAACAACAAAATAATAAATTACTGATTAAAAACATTGATTTATGACCTCAAAATAATGCAGACTTTTTAAATCTCATAATTTTGATTTAGCATTTATCTCACCCATACTAGCCAGATTACACAAAACACCAGCCACTAGCCTAGCTGTAGTAAACTCTGTTTGTCCATTTTGGCAGATAAAGCAGAAAAGACTTTGCCTTTTAAAGATGATTGTGTGATTGTGATTACCAGCTGCTGTGCACTGTGTGGCCAGTGTGCAGTGGTCAACGTCTCCTCTGTAACGATCGCTCCAACATGTGTTTGGCCTCTGGGTAACTACCTTCTTTGTTTATTTCATCTGAAAAGGACTAATCCCATGTTTTAATGTATTTAGTTTTTCATTGAACTGAAACAGTGCTGTGGTGTTCACTGTTGTTTACTGTACATAGGATATTGATCTCCTGAGTATTCCTGCCACATACATTTCTCAACGACTACTTTATTTTGATTGTTGTTCCTCCCAACAGTGTCCGTTTGTCTTTTGTTCCCCTTTCATTGGACTCCAGTGACGTCGTTGTATTTTTGAAATGTGGTCTCCTATTGTTTTGCACTCTTGGTCCCTCTCTCCGCTTTTTTTTTTTTTGGGTTGCATTGTAAAGCTGATCTTCTGAAGAACAGGTGAGGATTCTCGTGGACATTACACAACTGTGTTTTCTGGGTTGGGGGGGGAGGATTGGAATGCAGATGTTTCTACTTTGTATAATGATGGCCAATTGTGTATTTACTGTCTGTTCATAGTAGATTTATATATAAAAAGAAATGAGTATATTATATATATCTATACATCATGAAATACTATGATCTTGTTTTTGAAGTCTGTATTGAAAATGATACTTTTCATGGGCCCTGCATACGGTCGGCTCTTTTGTAAGGTGTTACTGAAGACACCCTTTGCTGTACTCGTTTACAGTTTGTTACGTGTTGAGTAGCATTTTACTGGTTTTTCTCTTTGTCTTTCAACACTGACGACAAGTGTTTGGCTTCATTCATAACACTGTTACTGTAGGTGTGCAGATGACCTCCGCCCAGCCTCACATGTTCATAGTCCACACTTTTCTTGATATATCTGTGTAGATGGCTGGCACTCCTAAAGTTTCAGTATTTAAGAAAAACTAAAATTCAATACCTGGATTCTACACAACTACAAAAATTAACAAAGTGGTTATGAGTTCCTTCACACGTGTTCCTCTTCCTAACAGCTTTACAATTTCATTGTTTCACAAGAGTAAGAATCAAGTGAATGGGAAGGGTAGGCTTCAATTTCAAATGTGGCCTTACTCTTCCCCGATTTTGAGGATGGGCCCTGATAACTTATTTGTTATCAGGCCTCATGTCCTTTTATTTTGAATTAACATTCCTTTGAATTCATGTGTAATCTTGATGGCCTGGTGTTCATTAATTCTGTCGTGTATCCAAAAGATCACAGGTGCTTGATTCCTCAAATCTGTCCCTTCTCTCGGGACACTAAAATACCATTCCTGACTTCTCCTGATAGAGCAACATTTTTGTCTTTAGAAACTTGATATAATACATTGTCACAAGCTGAGTGAGCTTTCAATTTGCCAAATCTCACTCAGATACAAGTAAAGTAAATGCATCTGACCTCTTCTGTCGTAGTGATACCGTCTCTTTCTGCAGATGCAGCTTTGATGTCACATGTCTCTAAATCACTTCCATGACGTCCTTTCCCATGGCTTCTGCAGATGGCCAGAAAGGTCAAAGGTTATTTTAAGCATCTTCAACATTTACAAGAACAAAGGAAAGCGTGTGCAGTAAATTGTGCACCACAAAGGGGGTCTAAGCATTAAGTTCTATCTCGTGCGGTTTAGAAATACTTTACTTCCTCTTGTACTTTCTGCATCATTTCTTGGATCATTTGTTCCGAGGACCACATCCACATTATCGTGACACATCATCACGCTGTGCTGAGTATCACTGAGACTGGGATCTGTTGACATATCTGTGCATGTAAGCACAGTTGATCAGATGGTAACTCAGCCCAGAACATTCCCAGAACCTTTGCACAGCAGTGCCAGTCATTGGGTTTCTACCGTTGAATGCTTTGGTTTGTCAAAAGGAGCCAAAACTAGCACACTCTGGCTATTCCGGCCGCCTGTCTTCACTGTTAGTCTTAACACAATGTCTAGTAACAAAAAAAAAAAGCATTGACATTCCATTTAGTTATAATTTCCATTCATTCGGAGGGGGCAACTCTCTTTGTTCTAACCCTCCTCGTTCAGTCCAGCCAGGTCCAGGAACAGTGTGTTTATTTATGCGGCCTGGTCCGACTCCACTCCATTCCTCTTCTCTCTCTGCATGATCCATATGTCTGCATGCACTGCCTACCTGTCTCTCCCTCTGTCTCATACCACATATCAGCACAAGGGATCGAGCACTGAAGGACGTTAGTACTTTCACTGTAACCAAACTGTCTTATCTCTTTTTTTTTTTACTGCTTTTGTGTTTCTGCTGGGGAGGAGCTTGGGTGCTTTCCATGTCGTGGTTTTACTTGTAGCATATGGACTCTTCAAATCTGAAAGACTTCAGTTGAATATTTAACACAAAAAAAGAGAAAAAAAATTTATCTAGCACTTGTAACACAGACAATAGATTTTAATTGTATTTATGTAGAAAAGCAAATTGTTTAAGGGGACACTTTGTAAACTGCGACAACAGAATTGACAACTTTTTATTATTAACACCACGCTGGATGTGACTGGTGGGACTTTTGGGAAGACTTGTTTGTTCTCAGTCACATCTGGACGTATTAAAGGGCTTCATCACGTTGCCTGGTTATTGTTACAGTTGTCCATTCCAGTAAATAAGCCAATCACACTATGACCACTGTGGTTCAAAAACAGTTCTAGGTTTACATATGTATAAAATGCATATTCTTGTTTTTTATCAGTTATGTTTTTTGACTCGTTCCAACGTTGTTACAGAAATAGTACATTTTTCTGGGGAACCTTTGCTCTAACATGTTGTCTTTGACATCTACAATATAAAGTATTGTTTTGGAAAAAAACAGAGGTGTCTGTTCTTAATGATGATAATGTTTGCTATTGGATTCCTTGCAAGGAAAAGGTTTATTCACTTTCACAAGACATGTTTGCCACTGTCGAGGAAGGAAAATACTGAGGATGTTACCTGCACTCCAACACTGTTACCTCATCTTGGTTGTACAGATCAGGTGCTGACAACTGCATTCAGCATTGCACATCTATACAGTTGCATTATTGGATTAATAATGCACAGAGTTTTATTTATAAAAAAATCTATAAATTGGAAATAATGCAATGCAGCAGAATTTCAGATACAAGCGGTGTCCCATCTTTGGCCACATCCTTCCAAGTCTGCATTTGAAGACCCACTGCATCATAGCGGCGTGACCGGGCTGTCCTATTTCGAAGGCTCCTTCGGATTTGATCAACAAATACTGGTGTCTAATCAGTTTTCAAAAAAAGGTAATGGCAGCAAATGACAACACTATAATGGCAGAAGTGCAATTTCAAATATTATTATCAATTACATCCTTTGTAGAACAGACCAGACCGTCTCATTTCAGTTTGGCTGCCACGGTCTGCACACCACACACAAAGGTTCCTTCTTGGCCTTCATTGCCTGTTTCTTGTAAAGGATGTGACTCCAGAATTGGCACAAATCTATTGTGTTCTTTTTTTTGTCAAAATACTGCTGTCTACATTACCCACAATGCACCTTGATCACCAATAGATCAGTGATTTGGTTGTGGTGAGGCCTGAAGCAAAGATGAGGAACAGGCAGCAGGAAGTCAGTTCTTTCCACAACCACAGTTTAATCCTTATTCTCTATTTTTCCTGCAGACTCAATCACTTGAGGCAAATTGTCCAACTTTCAAAAAAAAGCAGCAGTTCTCAAAAGCTGTAAACACACTTTGATTAGAGGAGTTCCCCTTGAAGTCCAGAGGGAGGCAGTATCAGAGGAATGGCAGCCAGGCCCCCACAGTAGCTTTGACTGGGATTAGCCACCCATTTGGACAGGGCAAAGGTCTGAGCTAGTGTCCAAATAAACAGTAGTGAATCCCTGTTGGTGGTGGAACTAACGCTAAGACAACAGTCCAAAGGCAAACAAGACCGATCCCGCCCTACCTCCCCTCAAATAAACACACATTCCTCTGCTTCCCTGTCGAACCCTGAATTTAGTGAGTAAGTGTAAATAATACAGCTTTGTGGCCTTGTCACAATCTCTGTAAATCACGGAGCTTTGAGACGCCACGCAGGGTCAAAGGCAAACGAAGAGTAGCGCATCTCTGGATCCTTGAGGGAATTCGTTTAACAGACACGAGGGACAATATTTACCGTCATACAGATGCTGAGCTCTGATGGGTTTTATAAAAAGAATGACGTAAGGGTGGGAACTTGTTCTCTTTATGGTTCCTCAGTGGCTGGAAACATTTAAACAAGCGCGCTCATGACACTCAGACTGCCCGTCTCACCTTTAGCTCACCGTAGGCGTCGACACGTTCGTCATCTCCGCCGTATAGCGACACACAAACCCTGTGACCCCTCGGCGAGGTCGGGTCAGTGTAAAGGTGGAGCCCTGCAAGTTGAACTTTCCCCCAATCGGAAGACCAGCCCACAAGATGGCCGCCTCTTCGCCACAACAAAGGGTTGAAATGTCAGTAAGGGTTCAAATCTGGTAACCCCCTCCCCAAAAATAAAATGTATATTCCCTCCTGTGTCTCTGCAGTCTGGTCTGCGGCAGCTCATCTTCATGCAGTGTCACTCTCTCATTACACATCCACCCAAAAAAACAAAAAGAGGCCTCATCCTCCCAGCTGTGCTCATCACCACGGTTTTTAATTGCAGACTAAAAAACCTCATCGCCCTCGAAATGGGCGATGAGGTTTTGGCCAGCTGCTGCAATGACAAATAAAACTAATTATACATGAGAGTCATTAGGATCTGTTTTGAGTCACTGACACAAATATGTTGGGCATCAGAAAAGTGAAATCTAAAGAAAGACTCAGACCAGAGGGTAAATTTGATGTCAAATTCTTTTTTTAATCTCCAGCTTCAATTGTTTTATTCCGAGCATGTACCGAGACAGTCTGTCACTGGTTGCCCTTCTTTCCAGTGGATTTTTCATCGGTCCAGTTGCGACCTCTGATCCATAGCGTATTTGAAAAGCTGTGCAGCGTTTGCTTGTCTTGCTACTGTAAGTGTTTAGTCTGGTGTTGAGCGTCAAAGGGACGAGGACACACAAGGCTACGAGGAGCTGGTGCAAACATAACACTGAGGCTGGGTCACCGTCAGCTTGGGTGTCAAGAGTACAAGCTGCGGTGCAAAGATCAGTGCAGCTTAGGAACCCGTGCTTTTGCTTTATTATTAAGTTACAGGATGAACCAGAACACCCAGTTACAATTTCTGCTTTACCTCCACCACACTGTTAACTCCATTTCACTCCATAATGTCCATTATGGTGAAACAAATAAGAGCCAGAGCTCACAAATACCAACCAAATGTTCTGCTGGTAAAACTCCCAAATACATCTGCCTGTTGCTATTGTTTTTATATACACATTTGTACTTTACAGTTAAACAGACAGTGACTGACACTTAAGATCCACTTACTAACCTTTCAGCTTTTTGTTGTATTGATAGATGCATGGCATGACTTTCATCTGAAAGGCAATTTGCTCACTTTTCACAGAGATGGATTTATTCCAATGTAATATGGATTAAAGCTCTCGAAAAACAAAAAAACTAGTAAGTGGGCCTTGAGTTTAAAATCATTAGTCCAAAGCATTGTAACAAATTTGTTGCTAAAGGAAGCTTTCTTTTCATTTTTCTCTTGTTTGCCACTTTGGAACTTGTGGTTCCACCTGGGTTTGAAGGTTTTATAGATGAAACGTGAGGTCCCATGGATGAGTTTGGCGAGACGTCCCTGTACGTTGTTTGTTTCGTAGGTTCTGCTCATTTCAAACTTCAACACTTTCATCAAACTACAAGAAAAACTATGTAGAGTGCGTTTGAACAATATGCCTCTACAGTGGTACCTTGGGGATCAGACTTATTTGAAGCATTGTATTTTTTGTACATTGTATTTATAATCTTATATTTTCACCCCTATCCTTTTATTAGTTAGCAACATTATGCACAAACTACCAGATGGATTTATTTAAAACTCGGTTGGAAGGATGTGGTTTGGATCAGGGAAGAACTCATCAGAAGGCGGATCCATAAATAGATATAGAGATTTTTCAACATTTTCTTCATTTCCCAGGAAATTGATGCATCTTGATGGAAAAAAAAATCTGGCACATTTAGGGAACTGATGTAAGAGTGTGTGAAATTTGGTGCTTCACTGAATTAAAGGGAACATTCAGGCCTTTGGTGGAGGTGTGAGCTTTACTGAGGGTCATTCTAATTTAAGCTGGAATCTTATTTTGGCTAGATTCAATTGAAATAACCCTCATTTACATTTGTAAGTTCTACTTTTATGAATGAAGAGAGAATGAGGCTGAATCAGGGAGAAGGGCGGCTCCTGAACACACACTGAACTCGTGTATGACCCACTGACCTCTGCTGACCCCGCAGTCTTCACCGGTGCTAATGAAGAGCAAAGCAGGAGGGGGAACGTCGGCATGTCGCCCTACAAACATACATAGGACCCCTCCTTCCCAATCTCCCCCCTCTTCCTCCCCCATCTCCTCCTGACACCTGGAGATGAATCAAGTTTCACAGCTGGAGATGAAGAGGATGCTGGATCTGTTACTGTGATTCTCAGATGTAAACGGCGAAGAAAAAAGAAAAGAACAGGGGAAGGTCTGAAAGTGTCGGCTCCGTGGTTTTTCCTGTGGTCATGGTGACGGCAAATTATCAAGCCAGCGATTTCTATCATAAAACTTCAGCTCGAGCTGCGATGCAGAGCCAAGATAAGACCAAAGCGCTGATTCTTAAATGCCTGGCAGAGAAGAGTAAATGTAACATGCATCTGTGCATGTTGATGTTTGTGGAAACAGTAAAAACAGTCAGAGCAGTGTCTCCATGTCCCTCATCTCATTTGGCCAAAATCACTGAAGTCAGATAGTTTCTAACCTTGTGGGCAGTGACAGGTCATGATCAGGGAGAGTGTTGCTGCAGTCTGTACACTTCTTCACCGGCGCAGTGTAAACACAGCAGATACGCCAGTGCAGAAATACAGAGCATTTCAGAAATGGAACGGACGAAGGAAACTGAGCAGTTTTTAAAATGTTATTGCCCATGGCAGTTTGCTCTGCACTGTGTGTGTGTGTGTGTGTGTGTGTCTGTGTGTGTCTGTGTGTGTGTGTGTGTGTGTGAGACCAGATGGACAGTGGACAGCGCCAGAAAAGAAGATGTGCTCAGAGCCAAGAGCGAGAGCTATGCAACACACACACACAAACGTTCCCATAAATACTTAAAGACTATCTTCCCATTGCAGGTCAAATATTACTCAGTATAGACATTGTTTTTCATATTTCGATTTTTATTTTCTTATTCCCTATGACATGAACAAGATAAGTCTTTTGTTTAGTCAGTCCGTTATGGACGACACCCAAGTCCCACATCACACACCGTGGAGGAATTGAATCAAAGCATCTGCACCAACATGAATTTATTTCGCAGCCTTTGCTCTTCATGTCGGGAGACTGTGCTCTATGTGTTTCATTTATTGGGACATGGCAACAACCTCAGATTCAAGAAAGGTGTTTTCACAGATGTGAAGCATGCACAGACATGTCATCTGCATCAATACAGAGGGAAGTCACATCCCATTGTCCTTACAGTGCTGCTTGTATACATATTCCTGTCCACAGCTTCCAGAGTCCACAACAAACCACTGAGGATTCATGGGAGAGGGTTACGAGGTGAGAATATTTAAAAATGTTTTCATGGACACTAATATTCAGACTATTGAGCTCATTCAGAATAAGATTATTTAGATTATGGTGTTTACATGAGTTGCTAGTAGAATATTTCATTCATATTCTTGTTTACATGTTACAGAGTTTAGTCTGATTATGACTCACCTCATTACATCCAATGTTATTCTGCCAGTTTTAAAACTCCAACCTGATATTTTAAAATGCACGATGCATTTTGGGTGTTTTCTTTCTAATTTTACAAAAGCTACAACATTTTTTAAAATCTTGTTCATACCCAGAACATGTGAAGTCAATCAGTTGTTAGCTGCTGGATGTAAATGTAGTAAAATGCTGTGAAAACGTATCTGTTATAATGGGATTAAGATGTATACATGTCTACATATTTGGACTAATACTCCACATGTCTTAATTAGATTTTAGCTTACTCCAAGGATGACTTGATTCAGGTAAAGGTAATCGGAAAATGTTGTTTACATGTCAGTGTCTTATTCAGATTATTTGTTTGACATCAGGATATTGGAAACGTAATCCGTCATCTTCAGAGGACTGGGAAACAGAGGAAGGACCCGACGCATGGTGCTATCATATCTTCTGCTTCACTGCCACCATACATAGAGAATATCTGCCTTCACAGGGTCAGTGACTCCAGCACCAACAAGAGAGAAGGGTCGAGCTCTTCACTGACGGACACGTCTGCAGGTATTGGAAAAAAAAGTTCTCCTGTAGCTCAGTGTGAGACTCCTTCAGGGTTCAGCAAAAGCAAATGTCATGTTGTTTTCATAGCGTGTAAATCCTCTCTAAGGTTTTACATCCACCTTTGGTTTGAGGCTCTGAACCAATATCCTGAGGGGAATCTACAGACTGGAAGGTATTCATTTAAATCTCCAGTCCAGTTTGGTGAATCTTGGCGTGAAGCCTCTCCCCTCCATCAGCACAGCTGGACAGAGCCGCGCTCGATTGTGAATATGTATGTTATTTTGTGTGCCCACCGATTTCAGGGAAATAGTCCTTAAAGAAAAGAAATCACCTTCCTGAGGCCTGATGAAAATGTGGCGGGGGCCTTATGTGCAGGATCAAAGTCTTAAGGCGTCTGATTAAATGATGAAATGAGGGGAAGACGGATACGGGCTGGAGAAACAGGCCAGAACCTCAGGTAATTCCTCTTCATCCAGTCGGCCTCGACAGCCCGGGTTCTGCCAGGTTCCTCTGAGAAGCAGCTCTCTCTCTCTCCCCTCGCTCTGTATGAGGTTCTGTCCGTTCACCATCTGTATCCCGATTCATCGCTCTATTAGTTTAGACGTCAAAATATCTGCACAGGCACTGAGGACAAAACCAAACTCATCTATGTTCAGAGCAAAGAGCAAATAAAGTTGTTCTGATTGGGAACGCCGTGCAGGGCCTCAGCAGGCACTTGTGTAAACTCAGCAACGAGATGTGTTGATTTATGGAGGAAATAAGTGTAGCTGCAGTGTTTGAGTCAAATAAAACAACTAAACTAAAGTTCACATCAGCTAAAAATATTATTAAACTTATCTTCACTGGATTCACTTTAAATATCAGGCTTTTGTTTTATTTTCTCTTTTACAAACATAAAGCCTGTTCTTCCCCATTACTTGTGCTTGAAATACAGAAAATCTAATTTGATAATCATGGTTCCTATTATTTGCCAAACTTCATTGATTTGAAGAATTAATTGATAAGTGATCGTCCACAACACCCAATTGGGGATAAACAGAGAAGGATCAATACTTATATGAAGTCTTATTGCTGTGGTGGCAGCTGACTTCCAACTTTGCCAAACACACACACACACACACACACACACACACACACACACACACACACACACNACACACACACACACACACACACACACACACACACACACACACACACTGAGGGGAAGTTCAGTCTCGCCGACATTAGCCTCCAAAGTGGTATAAGGCTAACCTTGGGATTTAGTTTTTTATTGAACCAGACGAACACAGAATACCGTTTGAGGCACACAGAGTGTAAACCCTCACTTTATTCCCTTTTTACTGCAAATTAAAGTTTTGTAGCTTTTTCCGTCTGATTTTACGGGAAACATCTGGATCTCTCGCACCGCTGGAGCAGTGGCCCCCGGGTGGTTCTGAGCTGCTCAGCTGTGAGGGCCCGGGATAATGAGCAGGTATCAAACAGGCTCCTATGGATAGGCCCGGCCTAGGTAGGAAGGGCTGTCTGACACCATCTGAGACCACCATGGCAAAAAGTGACAGCACATTGTGGCATTTGTGAAGTTATTATGAAAAGGAAATGATTTCAAGTAACTGTAAATGTTTGTTTGAAATTATCACAAAAGTGGCTGCAGGAATATTGATTGAGAGTCAACAGAAAATATGATATTTAATCATTTGAGTTTTGCCAGGACCCCACAGACAGCTGAATTTATCCAGCATGTGTAAATGTAAATGCAGAACATGCACAGTCTGTCCCTCCTGAAGCATGCAGCAGACTTAGAGTTAGTCACAGAGAGCACAGTGTCACACACTCTGTCAGAAGTGTCACTTGATTTCAAAAAGATGACACTGAGATGAATGCAACTGATTCTGGGTCTCAGAACTCGGCCAATGAGGAGAACAAGTGATTCCTGCTCTCAGCGATCAACTGTGAAACACCCACCAATGCAAACCACTCACTTTTTCTGAAAGTCAAACAGAGCTTTTTCACATCAAATAGTTCTGCTCACGCACGCACGCACGCACGCACACACACACGCATACACACACACACACACATTTAACATGTAGTGTGTGTAAAGTCTAATTAACCAGTGCATAGTGTGAGTTTGGTGCATCAGCATCTCCACACACCGGGAGGAGGATAAACCTCCGATGCAGGTGTGCTGCCCCTCCAGCCTCCTCACATGATGAGACAAGCTGCCAGACATTCTGATACTTCCACACATGATGCCACAACCACAGCATCGTCTCTATAAGGATTAGAACTGACAGGTGTTGAACTGTATCCTTCTCAATCCCAGTGTATAGATCCCCTGCAGGTAAACTGAGAGGCTGCTGCTTGTGTTGCTGGTGGTAAAATTGTGGAGCTATTTAAAAGTTGAACTTATGGTGGGTGAGATTTCAGCAGCCTCAGAGAGTCCGCCTGTATTTACAGTGTAGCAGCCCCGTGTTAACAATGAACTCTTTCACTGTTTAGATTGTATCTGACCACGTCTGCAGGGAAAACGACATGTAAACACTTTGAATGTTGGGAGAGAGATTGAAAGGAATGTTCTTCGCTCCTCTTATTTTTTTGATTTAATGTTATTTTATTTCTGAGCTGCAGGCTGAGAGTTATTGTCCTTATCTGCTCGTGTTGGGCTCCTGCTCGTTAAAGGGCCCAGAGGCCATTTGAAATGATTCCTCGTTATTTGAGCGGACAAGCATTTTATAAGCCTGAGCTTGAAACTGGCTCAAATTTCCTCCACTGTTAATGAACCTGTATTTTTTTTATGGTCCCTGTTTTTTTTAAAGTGGGTATTTTCTTTCCATAACAAGAGGAAAGGGGAGAAAAGGGGCAACTGCTCACACCCAGCACTGGAATTAATACACTGTTGGTTGTTATTTTTTTAACTTTATATAAGAGCCAAATAGACAAGCACACTGTTTTAAATGTTTAACTTTTAATTTGTATATTGTTGGATTAAGGTTTCAGCAGAAACTTTTAAATGTACAGCTATAATAATAATAATGAATCAGTCATGTTTTGTTCAAAAATATGTGTTTTAATAAATAAGCAAAAACAGAAGAAAATGTACATTGGACGGAGTGTTTGGAGACTTGCTAAAGATAAATCCATGCAGGAATGACTTGAACATTGCATTGGTCCCTTTTTACAAGCTACAGGCGCACTTACACAGGTATGTACAATATGCATTCATTTATATATATATTTAAATTTATATTCATATATTTATATTTTGGTTTAAAGTCTTTGCGAAACAAAATATATCTCCTTCATTAAAAAAACAATTGTGATCAAAGGATGGCTTTGCATGAAATGCAGGACGTGGATCCTGCAGCTACAAACACACCTTAGGCTTCTTGGCTCTCTCCTCACCCTCACCACCCTAACCCTTACACACACTCACACTCACACTCACACACACACACACACACACACACACACACACACACNACACACACACACACACACACACACACACTCACACTCACACTCACACACACACGCACAGCTCCGCACAGTTAGAAACGGTTGTGATGAATCCGCGTCCATGTGCAGGCTCCTGGGGGCTTGGTGGTTGTGGGTCACATTATATAATAGATGGTCTCCTCACCATGCCTCTGAGGTCGATGGGTTCTTCAACAACACCTTTGGTCTTTTGTAGAAGTAAACAGTCTGCAGTGGACAGAGGGAGAAAACATGCATTATAATAGTGGACGTGTGAGATGCACTTATATTCACACATATATATTTTCAACGTTGACTGACTCATTTTGGATGTGGGAAGTCATTAATGAATCAATGATTATCCACTGAACTGAGTAAAACCACATGGCAGCAGAGGCAGTTTGTGTGTGATCCTGCAGCTGCAGAGAAACTAAAATAAAAGAAAATCAGTTTTCCTTTTTTGCACCTGTGTAAATCTTCATTATGCTGCTCAGTCCTAAAACAATACAATGTTTCCTAAGAGAACAGTTATTATAGAAATATATCAAATAAGTTCACTTTAACGTTTATTTTTTACAAGGCCTTTTATCACATGTACAAATAATATCATCATTTTATTTTTTTGATTTTTTTGCCAGTTTCAGTACATGCAACCCAATAAATATTATCCTATAATAATAATTATTCTTTTGCTTCTGTGCATGCACATTTTTGGAGGAGAACATGAGATTATAACTGGGATCCTTCAAAAGCTAATATAGGCCTTTATGACCGAGTTTCTAAGGAAAATCTATTTGTTATTTTCCAGAGCTGAATTCAACTCCGGATTACTGAGAGAAAAAATGCACATTCAAATTGACTGTACTTACACAAATCACTATAATAATGCGGCTGATTCCTGCGCTGCAGCACCAGTGTGTTTATAAGACAACAAAGCCTTTCTGTAAACTACATGTCAGACCCATGAGAACTAAACAAAACCTGCCTCTGCTTATTCTAACTCTAAGGTGTTATTCACCATCACTCAATCAAAACCATTCAACAAGAATGTAGTCCTGCAATAAACAGCTGGCATTACACTATCTCTTTTATTTTGTTAAGCTGGTGTGGAGGGGTCATGTCTGAGGCCTCAGGTTCAATTATCATTTTGTATCTGTCAGGTTCTTTTTCACAGAAACTCCTCTTATGGAAATTTGCTGACAACAAAGCAGATGTCGTGATGTGGCCATTGTTCACATCACTATTAAATGTATTTATCTTTACTTTTCTCTTTGTCTCTCTCTGGTGCTGTGCTGCAAAGTGGAATTTAGTTTTCCAAACGATAAAACACAACAATTTATAATATCAGTGATAATTATACCTCTTAACTTTGTGCATTATATTATTTTGGACACAGACGAAACCCTCCTGCAAACAAGCGTGCGCAAAAGCTGCTTGTTAATACGGGCCTCTGTTTTTATTGCCTTGCACTGGCTTGAACTTTCATATCCAGCCGAGCTGCCCATTCCTGCGGTCTCCTCACAGGAAAGCTCTCTGTTGTGGATATAAATTACCCGCGGTGCCACTATACAGCTGCGTTTTGATGCGGCCTGCTGCTTTCTGTTGTATTTGTTTTACCCATTTCATTGTCGAATACTGTGAAAATGAAGATGAGCTGCAAAACTTAATTTTAAAAATAGGCTCACTCAGAGGAAGCGTATTGTGCATTTGCGTGAAATGGTTCCCAAACGGTTATTTGTTTAAATTCACCTACTTCCCATGCGCCTAATCACGCTCTCCAAACAGATTCAATGTCCCTCTCCTCCACATCCTGATCTGGATTTTCGTTTAAATTTGACTGGATCCTTCAGAGGACCATGTACTCTGGTGGATCAGCTGTAACCGGGGGTGCGCAGCAACAGCAGCAGCATCCAGCTGCAGACGCTGAGGCCTCGGTGTGAAATCTGGCACAAGCACGACAAGCGAGCACCGCCGCGTCCCTGCCTGCCATCTGACCGGTCACAGTGTGTTTGGTCAGTGTGTTCAAAATGTGGCAGTTTATAAATGACACTTTCCAAATCCAATACACGTGGTCAAACACCGCAACTTTACACGCAATTTGTGCAGAAAGGTGCGTGGGTGTGTGAGTAAAATCCACAGAATACAAGTTTAAATCAGTCTCATATGTTTGTGTATTATTTGTCTATACTGTTTATCAGTGACTGCCTTGTGTGTAATGTGAATTCATACTTGTGCTCCTGCTAAATAAACCCTGCTTGTCCTTGCTGCAGTCTTGTGGTACCCACCGCTTTGGCTTTTAGTGCCGGTCTGTGGCTGCTAGTGAGTTGCGGACATAGACCACGCGCCCTCCATCCTCCACACGGAGAAGGCGTAACTGAGTCTTTCGTGCGCAACGTAGCTGCAGCTGGACATCTTGCTGTCCATCTCGTCGCTCTGCAGCACCTGACACAGAAAGTCAATGTATCTGGAGGCGAGCTTCAGCGTCTGTATCTTGCTCAGTTTGTCCGAGGGGAGCGTGGGGATGATTTTGCGCAAAGACGCGAAGGCCTCGTTCAGGGACTGAGTCCGTTGCCTCTCCCGCACGTTTGCGAGCACCCGCTGGTTCTGCAGCTCCTCGTACGACTGGCTGCTGCTCGGGCTCGGCTTCTTGCCTCGCTTCACCGGGCCCGGGCTGCTGCTGCCGCCGCTGCTGTCCTCGCTGGATTTTTTACTGTGCCTCCTCTTCGTCGCGAAGCGCTTCTGCTGTCTGTCCAGCTCCTCCTCGCTGGTCACCAGACTATCCACAGGGGACACCGGGGAGCTGGAGCCCTCTTCCATTTCTTTCTTGAAGAAATGCAGGGATAGAGAGGAAAACACGCTGTCCACCTTCGAAGCCGTGGTTACACAAATGTATAGATATCCGTCCAGATGAGGGGAAAATGTCAGGGTGCCTCCCCGCTCTCCCTCTCTCTCTTGCGCCTGGTGCTTTTGGGAAAACTCTGGTTTTCAGGTTGGCACACGCGTCTTCTCCTCACGCAGGAAGTTTTTTCCTTAAACTTTTTTGGAAACTTTATCCCAGTTTCAGATGCTAAATAGTTTTGGAGGTGGAAGGGGAGTGGTTTGGAGGGCGGAGGGGGAGCCAGTGTGCGTCCTGCTCCGCTAATAAGCAGGAGGGACCGCTCATGGTTTCTTGTGTCTGGGATATGACCGAAAGAGGACCTTATTAGTCAAAAAGCAACTGAAACGGATCTTTTTGTTTTGTTTTCATTTTGTGCAAAGTGAGTCCCATCAAACAGACATTTTTTAATATATATTTAATTGAGCAAACACATTGCAAAGTATCTACAGAACAAAGAATTGGAAACAAAAAAAACAATGCTCATGTCTTTTCCCCCCAATGTGTTTAAACAGACATTTTTTGATAGAGAGTTACAATTAGGCCTTTTTATTAGGCCTGGATACTAAATTGGATAAAAGATGAATTCAAGATAAATTATATTTGTTATATTACAAAACAAATGCCCAATATATTCTGTTCAACATCTTTGGATACTTGTATTTATGTTGAATTATTGTTGATGAATATGATATAAACACGTGTTTTAAAACTTTTTTTAAAAACATTTTTTACCACACCTTCATCCAAATGTTCAGACATATCTCTGAAACGCATCAGAGGCTTATGGGGTTTTGAGTTTATAATAAAACATCAGTCTGAGCTGCAGGTCAATAAAACTAGTGAGTTAACTGCTGTATAAAATCCATTTGCTGTTGGAGTGTGGAGGCTGTGCGCCCCGGAACGCGCACTCTCTCCAAGGCCCTTTTATATCCAGACGCACCATGTAACTGTAAACACTGATGTTTTCACTGCGCACTGCGGAGAGCGATTTACGCACAGATTCTGCTGGACTGCTGCGCGAAATCCATCCGCTTGATGCGTAATCGAATCAAGGCCGCGCGTTCTGCACGGTCCCTATAATGTGGAAGTGAAACAGGAAAGAGGCTTAAACTAACCGAGCAGCTCTCCGGTTTCTGCGGATACCTCCAGCGCACGGTTTGTCCGTGCGTTTTGTCAGCGGTCCACTTCTTCATCTGTCATGTCATGTTTTTCCCTCGCAAAGAGCGGCTCATAGTGCACAGATGGCTCATATTATACAGCTGAATTTATCCACTGCCAAAATGTTGGGTTTGTCCAAATCAGCTGACTGACCTCCAGAGATCTCTTTGGCTCTATTGTTTTTTTTGGGGGGGGTGACTACAGCTAAGCTGTGTTGCTTAACTCTCACAAAAAGCAGATAACAGGCATTTTATTTTAATTTCAAATGGAAGAATAAAGACCAAAAAACGGTGAGGTGGAATATGTGTAAGATTATTCCTATGGAAATAAAATCTGATCTTATTTTTAAGAAAACCACACTTATTTAACGACATTGAAATGATGCATTCTAGACAAGGTTTCAAATGAGAGATCAAATATGTTTCATGTTCTCTCTAGAAACAGGTTGATGTTCATGAATATATCACGGAAACAAGGCCTCAGTTGTTAATGTGAGTCTGTCATTAATCAAATTGTGCTGAATAATTGCCTCTTATTAGGAAGCAATTTTGCTAATTCACACTGCAGAGACGGCCACACTTTCGTTCACAGAGGACTATTTAAAAATAATCAAACAACAGCATCTCGAGTACATGAGCCCATGTTTTGTGTGTTTTACACATCCGGGGAGACTGGTCGTTGTAAATGGGCTGGAACTGAATACCTCCTGAAAGCTGAACGACATAGTTTGAACCCATGAGTGCTCACTTGGTATTGGTCACATATCCTGGTGTTCGTTTGAATGCGCCCTCGGCTGACAGGAAACCTGGTCTGCTCTGTGTTCTGGGCTCTGCTGGTAATGGTGACTGTCACACTTTTAATTCAGACCCTGGCATACTTCTGCATAAAGGTTGAGTATGGCTACAGTCTAGTGGTCTAGTTCATACAACGTCTTTATAAAGAAGGTCATGTTTCACACATGGATATATTAAAGCAATGCTCTGATATTTTAGCTTGAAAGAAGCATACACACGCAGGAGAACACACACACACACGCACACGCACACACACGCACACACACGCACACGCTCACACGCTCACACACACACTGACACACACACTGACACACTTTGCCTGATTATGCCCTCTGACCTCCTGCTCCCTGGCTCGACTTGCGAGAGGCCTACATCCCCAGGGGAGACCAGCAGAATAAGGGGCTGATCCTGCACAGTGTCTGTGAGGTATGGACTTCACATATACACACTTCACAAGAAGAAAAAGAGCGAGCAGGGGCCCCTAGCCAGCACTTTTCTTTCCACTGTATATATGCTGTGGGCAATGATAATCAAGCTACTATTCAAAAAGGCAATGGTCAGGATGATAACTTCCCCACAGTCTCAAACTGACTGAAATCCAGTCAGGATCATATTCCAGAGTAAATAACAATGTGAAAAAAGGTGTTAAAAAGTTGGGAATGAATCATTTAACCTGCACTGTTGTTATATTGGCACTGGTGAGATTTCAAATCATGATCCTTTGTGATTATTTAATGCACCTCTGCAAGGTTTGTGGAATGTTAATGTCCTTAGGATCTTTTATCGTGGTTGTTGGTGTCCAGTATGTGAATTCATGTCTCATCCAACATTTACTGCAGGTGAGTATTTGTCCGCTGTGGCTCCTGCATGAACTCCATGGAGGTGACCGGAGAGTAAAAGGCGAAGGCAGCAAAAAGAAGTGAGGAGAGGGGTGGTGGTGGGGTGACCTGCCTCTCAGATCAAAGATGAGCTGGGGCCATAATTCAGCCGAGCGAGATGACGTAGCTCTGTCTTTGTCTGACACCTCAAAAACCAGCTCCACATGGGTTGAGGGTGCGGCCTTAATAAGCCCAGATCCTCTCCGCTGTCACACATCCCCGACTCAGGCCTTCACATCAGCCCTCGTAAATAGAAGATGACCGGTCGTGAGGCAAGGAGCGAGACTGAGAGGTGATGAGAGACAAAAAACAGTTTCTGAGAGGGGGAAAAAAGAAAGAAAGGATACGGATGAAAATGGAGAAAACGGGGCCAAACGTATATATGGATGGGTGATGATTCACTGGAGTCTTTGATCTGACACCGAGGGTTATGGACGTGTGAGGGGAGTTATGGAAGAGATGATTTGTTGGAGGGCTGTGATGAGTGGAATTTTACTGTCCATGTGCCTGCCAGCATCGGTTACCTTTGACTTCAACCCCCCCGAAAACACTTGTGAGGCTCACCCCAAATGATCCTGGCCAGAGGATCTAAAGCTGCGTCCCTAGTGCAAGCACATGCATGTGTCTGCTTGTGTACAGCGCTGCTAACACATGTACAGTTTACATTATCACCTGATTACTGTGTGCCTCAGTGGATCTGCAAGTGCCTCTTCAGATATGCATGTGTAAGTGTGCGTGCGTGCGTGCGTGCGTGCGTGTGTGTGTGTGTGTGTGTGTGCGTCTCAGAAAGTGATTCAAGATGAAGCAGAGATGTTCAGCAGAGGAAAAGGCCCAGCTGGTTCTCATTGGACAGAATATTACCAGCGGTGGAATTGCTTTTAAAGCTACTTGTAGGCTCCACCGTTTCCCTCAGAGCAGCCACTCACATTTCTGTGCTACAACGTGACTCTGCAACGTCGACTGGGCAAAGATCACCTGACGAGGAAATACAAAAGACACAGTACGATGTAACCGCCTTTTTTTTGTAAAAAGCACAGCAGCAAAACTCATGCAAATAAAAAAAAAGTTATATAACCAACAAATTGCACTGGGATGATACATGATAGTCACAAATGTATTATTGGAATTCATAAGAATAGAGAATGATGAATGGTATTTATTCAGAGCTTTTCTAATCTTGATGACCACTCAAGGCTCTTGACAGTTTTATAAATTCATACAGTGCATCGAGTGCTGCACTTTCTCTATCACACATCACTCACACATTGTTGGCACAGCCGTGAGGGGGAATCTGGAGTTCAGTGCCTTACCCAAGGACACTTTTGAACACAGAATGGAGAGTGGGATCGAACAACTAACCTTCGACCCGCTCTACCTTCTGAGCAACAAGGAATGTTTCCTCTACATACCGTAAAATTAAATGTTCTGTGTTTCTAACTGAAACTCTGGTCTTCACTGGAAAGATTCCCTGAGAAAAACGTCAATGGTTTTTCTACATTTCATTTCCAGTAAGTTGTGGAAATGTGACTCACTCAGATCAGTTCTTGATTAAGAATTTACGTGTCAGCCTCGATGGAAGTTTGCACTTAGTGTTGAATCAATACAAAACATCACAGCCTTCGTCATAAAAATCAGTTAACTTCAAATAAATAACTTGGTTTCATTCAGAACTTATTACGCAATGTGTTCTCTCTTGTTTCAAATAGCCAGAAGTTATTCAGGTTCCTCCTCGGTTATCGTCGGGTCCCACAGGCTTTCATTCATGTGATAAAACAAGACTGCATGCATTTAACAATATCAGTGTTTCCAATAAGAGCCTGTATTTATAGCAGAGGCCCCGGCAGTCAATGAAACAACAGAGAGGTACATATTGGCCCATAAAACTATATGCACCTACACTCATAGAGTCATTCGTCAGTAACTCTCAGTAACACCGAGAGACCATTCATTCACATACATGCAAACTCCTCCAGTCTGCTGCCCTGGGGCTGATGACAAGGTGTTTTTGAAATCGCATTAGGGGCCCTTTCATAAAGGATTCATTGGGGAGTGTGTAACAGCTTGAAGCATTTAGGCTTTGTTTAATATGATGCAGGTTTGATGCCGCTCCATGCTTTGTCTCCTGTGAGGAAAAGGGGCCTGGGATGCCAGAGACCCCCACTGTCTGAGTTAGCTTTGATATCTGGAGGTGGAGGGGGGGGAAACAGGGCCACAGAATATCCCCTCGCACACACACACACAAACACACACAACCCTCAACCTGTATGTTCAATGTTCAATATCTGACTCTGTAGAGTTATGGCCAGCCGACGCACA